AAAATAAAAAATAATTTAATTAGAATTAACGGAATAGATGTTAATACAAATTAATTTTAGGAGCGTACTAAAGCTTGAACCCTTGATCTCTCTTTGGAAAGTAAGGATCTGATACCGTTAAGCCACCGACCCCGCTCATTAATTCTTAATCATCTTTTTGTCTAACTATTAAAGTATGAGAAGTGTTTGTATTAAGAAGATGTCTTTTAAAATGGGTGTTTGTCGTTAAGATTAATGTAACTATTAAGTAGTTTAATTTTTATTTTATAAGTCATGTAATTTGTTTATTTAAAATTAAAATAACTAATTTAAAAGTATATTTAAATATTATAAATCCTACTTGACTTTAATAAGGAGATTTATAGATATAAAAAAGAAGAAAACTTAATGACTCCAGCAAATTAAAACTAAAAATTGGCAACACTCCAAAATATGATCATTCCAATAATTTAATAACAACTTTTATCCACTTTAAAATATATGTGTATATATTATAAAAAGAAGTATTGTGTCCATATAAAACTTGAAAAAACGAATAATATACTTTCAAAGAGAAGAACAGAAGGAGTCTATATATATTTTGGGACTCTTTAGGCATTTACAGAAAGGACCATTGACCATAGAAATCTTAATCACTGATGCATTATAGAAATTATCGGTGTGGAATTTTAACTATATACTTTTGTAAAAAAAAAAAAATTTAATTAAAAAAAAAAAGTTACGTTTATTTCTCCCATTAAAATTAAAAAACTGTTTTAAATGTATAAATAAATAGTATGTGTAATCGTTTCAAATGAAGTTCACATAATTTCAATAATTCCCATTTTGATGACTCCAAGGATTAATTTCACTGGTACCTTCTCAAATTCAGCTAAATTTCAGTTCGTAACACCGTTAAAAATATGCAAAAATACAATATTATCCTCATTTTTTAAATACATTTTAAGCCAAAATATCAGTAATTTAAAAAGACAAGTTACCCCGTTAGTTTCTCTCTCTAATATGATATATATATAGTTTATCTCTCTAATATATACCTATATCATAACGGTAACGAGCAGCCGACTCCAGCGACGAGTTTATTACTCCGGCAACCAGTGACGACTCCAGAGATGACGAAGATCAACAACGATTACAGGGATGTTCCTGAATATATTATTACCAAAAGCTTCAATTCTCAACAAAATTCAGCAACATGTTATATGAAATTCGTTATTTGGAAACCAAGAAAACCGCAATCCATGCAGCTAAGCAGATGAGTCATTCCTGTTCCGTTGCTTTCTAACATTTTAGAGGACAATACATTAAAATCTGTAACATATATTCACCCAATTAAGAGAAAATAAAAACTAATTCCATTTACAAATTTCAATTTTCTGTAACTTATCTACAATCAAACAAAGCACATCCAACATAAATTACACAAATCCCAAGTTTTAAGATAATAAAAATGATTTTAAAAATATATTAGGTCAGATTCAACATCAAAACAACAAAATATTCCCCCAAATTTCTTCTTTTTGAAGATCAAAACGGTATATGTATACATACACATATATATGATCCAAAGTTTTACTTCCTTTACATTTCTCATCAATCAAAAACGGGGGGAAAATAGGCCTAAAATTAAAAAAATAAATAAATAAATAGAACGTTAATCCAAACCTTGCTATGTTTTGATGTAACTATCGATGATCGGGTTTTTCCATCACAACGAGTCAGTGTTTGAAATCGTAACCATCAGGGACCTACTGGGTTAGACGATTCGACGATTTAGGGTTTGAGTCCTTGAAATGCAATGGCTTACTTTTGTTGCTTGGTCTCGTCCTTGTCACATTATTCTGGTTCAAAAAGAAATAAACAGTTAAGATTGACTGAGATATTCATATTCAACCTCTCCTTTAGCCGCAGTTCTCATGGCCTCCACCGACGGCGTGGTCTGGGCACGGCGGTGGCAAGTTTCTCTAGTTTGCAGACAGACAACGTGAAGGAAAGAGAGATTCGTTAGGTTCCGAAAATTACACAAACGCCCATAGTTTTTATGAAGTGGCAGATTTTAGTGAGGGTATTTTTATACTATAATTTTTTCCATATATATTCGAATGGTAGTGATCAATTCTCCATGGAATAAGAAAATTCTTAAGTACTTTTTATAATAATCATTAGATCTAAACTCACCTATATATTTTTCTTTTAACACAAAACTACTATCATTATTTTTAATTTTTAAATTTAATATTTACCGATACCATTAATTATAATAATAAAAGGTAAGTACTAAAAAAATAAAAATAGAAATCTTTTCACCTCTCGAAATCACATCTAACCACTAATCGAAATTTTCCAAAAGAAATTAAAAATTAAACTATTGACATACAAAACATCGATTAAAAAATAATAAAAATTTAAAAATAAAATCTCTATTTTTTTATCCACTTCAACTTAAAGTAATTGTGATTTGCACAACACTTTGTAAACTAGTTTAGTGATAAAATTTGTAAATGAATGATTTTGCCTTTCTTTTAGTAAAATATAAGATTGTAATTTTAAAGGCGAATTGCAAAAAAATCCCCTCGACTTTCACTCGTTTGCAAAAAATCCCCCCTTGTAAATATTTATAGCAAATTATCCCCCTCAACTATCCCGAGGGGGTGACTTTAATTTTTTTGGTAACTGCCTGAAACGAATTTTATTTCCATTTGTTCTCGTTTGGACTCAATCTTTGCAGAAGTTTTAGAATCGACTCGCTGATTTACACCAAGCGAATCAACCAAGATTGTCATTGAATATGTTCGTTTACACCAGGTGAATCATCCACCAACTCTCAGTATCATTCGTCTTTCTCATGCAATTCACTCACTCGCATTAATAGCTATACGAAGATCATGCAGGTTTGGGCTGAAATTCGATTTTTTTTTTTTTTTTTTGGGTGGTGGTGGTTGTCCCTTTTGATAAGAAGACAACACAATTATTACTTTTAGTGGGATTACTATAATTATTTAATTTTTATGCAAGCTCGTATAAAATACTCTTTTATACATAAACATATAATATGGTTTTATATTAATTTAAGATGATATTAGGGAAAAATTATCATATAGATATGATAGGATAAAAAATAAAATAAAATAAACTTGACTTATAATATGGTTTCATATTTCATAGGATAAAAGTAAATAAAATAAATTTGGTTTAATTTTCACACACGTGTATAGTATTATAGTATATATGATTCAATTATAATATTAAAATAGTCTTTACATTCAACAGGGCCACCTACATAAAAATATATGATTCAAGTGTAATATTAAAACACTATTGTTTGAATAAAATAGTACGAAGGATTTGTTGACGTGGTGAGAAAGTAAATAAGAATAAAAAAAAAAGTCCTTTACTGTTAAGGGCCAATTTCGTTCAAAAAAAAATGGCTCAGCAAATTATTTAAATAGACATCAGTTAAAGTCACCTCCTCAAGATAGTTGAGGGGGATTTTTTTTAAAAAAATATTCATAAAGGGTGTTTTTTACAAATAGGTAAAAGTCGATAGATATTTTTTGCCATTCGCCCTAATTTTAATTAACAATAAGAATATAACGGGAAATGAACCCTATCTGAAAACCTTCTCACAAATTAGAAGCTCTCCCCAAATCCGTCTTGCCGCACATTGGAGTCACGGCGGGTTAGAGGTTCTTGATAGACATATTTTTTTAAAAAGAAAATCAATTCAAATCTAAGATAACTTTTGTGAAAATAAATTTTAGACAACTCCTCAACAATTGTAATAGCAAAAATATTGTTAAAATTTTAGATTATAATAAAAATAAAAATAAAAAGGCAAAAGTTATAGCTAATAAAAAGTATTTAATTATATATTATCATTGAGTGGGTTCAGAGCTTGAGAAGTTTTAAAATCTCTTTCAAATTCACTCCTAAATTTAACTAATAAAAATTGTTAATATGAGTAGTCATTGTATATGTGTGAGGGGCGGAGGGAGGGGTAGGCCAGCACGGGCAATGTCACCCCTGCCCCCCCCCCCCCAAAAAAAAAATAAAAAATAATATATTAGTATGTGTGTGTGTGTATATATATATATATAAATCATTAATAAATTAATATATTAGCTTCCTAATATTAAAAATTATTAGATGGTCCTGATCTATTTAACATTGGTGGATTAATTCAATGAAGACCCCCTCCTTTCATGAAACTTTATAATTTATTAATAGACTCTTATGAAGCCATTTTCTTAATCCGAGAGTGTGTATTTAATTGATCAACCAAATATTAATGGATCAGGACTATCTAATAATTTCTCCTCTAATATAAAAAAGGAGAGAGAAGTTGGAGGAGGGAGGGTCAGGCTTGAGCTGGAAATAAGGAGCATTGCACAATAAAAGTCTACACAAGTAGAAATTTCCTTTCTTCTTCTTCAGAGATCTCGAAGGATGGAGGTTGCCGAAGCTCAACTCAAGGTCTCACCTATGACCTATGACCTATCTCTCGCCCTCTTTTTTGAATTGATCTGTTTCAATATTATGCTAATGCAGTATGTTGTTGTTTGCTTCTCGTGAAAAGTAAAAAAACATGTAATTGATTTGTTTCTGCTTTGAACTCTTTCTGGATTAATAAGGGAAATTTTGTTGGTTAATTAATGTGTAAAGACTGTAATATGATATGGAGTTGCTACATTTATTTGTAATTTTGGAACCCTATTTATGTACTAGGCAGTACGAAATTTGATTTGTTTCTATTTGGGGCATTATGAATTTTGATCTAAGATTGGAATCTTACGCTAACATAGGATTCTTTAAGTACCGACACGTGTCTCTGTAAGTACATGGGTGGGTTTGATTCTCCCTTGCTAGCAACTTCCTCTTGTGGGGGCAGAGTATAAATTTTATAGAATACGGTGAAGGGTATTTTTGGAATTTCAGATCTTAAAAATGTTGTCATGGCGCATGATTTTTAACCGACCTCTCCTAGCACAGTCTGACGAAAGGCCCTTTAGTTGCTATAAAAGATGTTTTATATACCTTGACCCTTTAATAATTAAATTTCGGTTTATTCCAAACGCTAATTCACATCCAATCCTAATCTGGTTAACTGTAGGTTTAATTCCTGAACAGATGTTTGGATTCGAGGACCGTTACCATACAGAGTATAAAATGAACAGTTCCGGCCTTCAACATTCTCTGTAATTATCAAATTTAGGGTTTCAAATTTATGTAAGGTTAGGGTTTTGTATTGATTTTAGTTTACAAAATTTATAGCGATAGGTTTTTTATTCTAATACAAAGTTCTCAGCGTTGTACAGAAATTATATCTATTCAATTGAAAGGATAGCATCTGCAACCGAAAGTACCTGGTGAAAACAGTCTGAAGAGGAAGCATCTACATTGAAGAGTTGCTTAGAGTGTTAATAATGTAAGTTCAGATTTTCTCTTACTGCCTTTTTTTCTGCTTGTTTCAACGGAAAATAGTTCATGGAAAATAAAAAATTGGAATCCAAACTTAAATTTGAATTTTTTTTGGATGATTTACTCTGGGTAATCTGTTTTTTTACGCATGAAATTTATAGTTTACGTTAAAGAAAGTGGAAAAAGTTTTCTATGGAAGCAAACATAGCCTAAACATTGTTGCATCACTCTAATTTAGGTGTCTGAATCTCTCTCTCTTTCTTTTTTAGTTTCTTATGTTGTTCTGATTTGTTGAGTTATGGGTTGATCCAGGGGAGCTTTAAAATTGGAACTTGGATTGCCCCAAAGTATTGATGGACTCACTGTTGATCCACAGCCTGACTGGACTTTTGATAGTCTTTTCATAGAGCTCAGTTCAATTGAAAAGAAGCTCGATACATCTCCGATATTTCCTGTGCCATTTACCAAAATCAGATCGCGGTATTGTGATTGTATAATCATTTTTACTTATCTCGCAAAATGGGATCCCCGAAATTTTTGCTCAATAAAAATCTGCAAGTACTTTTATGTTGGTTAATGTGTATTTAACATTTTGGTCACCTCCTTTCAGAGAACTTTCAATTATGAAGGATATCAGAAGAAGTCCGAGGACTTTCGCAATGCATATATCAGACGATGAGATTGAGGATGTGGGAAGTGATGGTGATGGGGAGGCTCGTGAGCAATTTCTGGTTCGGGGTAGACGATTTGCTTGTGATGAACTTTACATAAGGTGCACATTCATATTACATTCCTATCGTCAAACTTCGTGTATAATTAAAATAGCAAATTAACAATTAAAAGAAACTAGCAGTAACATTAACTATACATGGGGAAGGTAACACTGTAGTAGCAGGAAGTTCCATTAGAATTTAGAGGGTAATGGTATAGGATTTACATTGAAATAGGGGATCAAAGTTTTATGAGTTTGAAAACAAGTTGAGGGCTTAAGGCTGCGGGCTTAGATAGGAGGTTTAGAGCTTCAAAGGAGCCTCATCAATATTTTGGATAATTTTGAAAAATTACAGAGTCCGATTAGGGAGCCCTTGCTAGTTTCTAATTTATGAATATAGATATTGTGTATGAATCTCACAGCGGCACTAAAAATATATAATGTGAGCTGTTTGAGGGAATCAATTTTGTATCGCGACTTTTGAGTTTACTCTTATCATTTGAGCATGTGATTTTTTTCCTCGTTATATTGTTCATGATAACAATATAATGATTTTAAGATATGCAAACTGTTTGTCTGATGATGGATGACTGTGTTTGTTCTTCAGTGACAGCGATGATTCTGGAGATGAGTCAGCTCTTGAAACCCAATATCATTTGATGGACAAAGTGGGATTAGTAGAAGGACCATTATTAGAGCTAACTCATGAGTATCAGATTAGTATTACGGTGCGTAGCTTGTTGATTATTTTGTTATAATAATATCACTATTGAAAGTTTTGAAATTGACTAAATTTGAGAGTGTATGTGCATTTATTTATTAAATTTATTTATTTTTTTGATAAGTAAAGATGTATTAGAGAGTGTTCAAAAGGGGAACACATCTCGTAGACAACACAAAGGCCGGAGCCCAAAAGAAAAGGTCCTACGGACCAAAGGAACCCAAAAAGTCAACTAACTCCTCTATTGAATTACAATATGTCCCCTTCGCCCAACAAAAAAGAAACTAATAATACTAAATTTCAAAACCCCAATGGAAGATTCCTCCCCATCAAAAGATCTTCTATTTCGCTCCTTCTAAACACACCACCAAACGCAAAAAGGTGCCACCCTCCGACCATCATGGGATCCCACAGAACAACCTCTCAAAGCGTCAATCAATCCTCTCGAAGACCGTGGCATAACTCACTGAACACCAAACAAGCCAAAAATAAGACTCCAACAGTTATAAGCTACAGGGCAATGCAAAAGGAGATGATCCACCAACTCACCATCCTTCTTACACATGCAACACCAATTGATAGTAGCCTGTCTTCTCTTTCTCAAGCGTTAAAATCTTACCCCAAACTGTGGTCCAAACGAAAAAGGCCACTTTAACGGGAGCCTTTGAGCGCCAAACCGTCTTCCAAGGAAAATCAACCCCTGAGAATTCGGAAAGGCAACAAAACGCGGAACGTACATCAAATCTACCCTGGGCAGAGGGCATTTAGAAAAGGGAGTCAAAACCTCCACAATCCACCTCTTGTCTATACAATAGATCCAATAACCAAGAAATGTCATCTAGTTCCCAGTCTTGGAAATTTCGATGAAAGCGCACATCTCAAGAAAACCTGCCGCCATCAAGCCGATAACAGTCGACAAACAAAACATGTCTATCAAAGGCAATCTTGAAAAGCCTAGGAAAAAGACAAGCCAAAGAACGATTACTACACCATAAGTGCTCCCAAAATTGAGTATCCGGACCATACCGAACTTTAAATCTGATGTGTTTTGAAAATTCATCCCAACCTTTCCGAATTAATTTTCAAACACTAACTCCTCCGACAGATCTAGACACACGAGAACACCATCCTCCTCTCTCCTCCCCATAGTGACACGAAATAACCCTCCACAATCGATGACGCTCGCCTCCAAATCTCCATAACCACTTGCTAAGGAGGGCCCTATTGAATGGGGGCAGCCTCCTAATGCCCAAACCACCCACAGCTGAAACGGTCTGCACACCTACTCTTAACGGACAAGATGGTACTTAAACTCCTTCCCCAAGCCGCCCCATAGAAAATTTCGCTGAATCCTCTCAGCCACATAGAACGGGACCTGAAAAAGAGAAAGAAAGTACGTAGGAAGACTCGATAATGTGCTCTTCATAAGGGTGACCTTCCCACCCTTCGAAAGATACTGCTTCTTCCACCCGGCCAATTTTCTCTCAAACCTCTCAATCACAGGATCCCAACCCCCCACCGTCCTTGACGGAAAACCCAACGGCAGCCCTAAATAAGAAATAAGAAAATAGCTAACCCCACATACAAGCACCGATGCAATAGAAGTAACATCACGAACCTCCCCCACAGGAACTAAAGTGCTCTTTTTCACATTTACTTTCAGGCTAGAGACTATCTGAAAGCAAATCAGAACACACCTCAAGTATCGTAGCTGCAACATATTGGGGTCACAGAAGACCAGAGTGTCATCTGCAAACAGTAAATGAGTAATCTCAAGTTGATGATCCACATCTCTGCCCACCCTGAATCCGCTAATAAAACCCCAAATTCACGGCCCTCCTCAACAGTCTACTTAGCGCTTCCATAACAAAGATGAACAGAAAAGGAGAAAGAGGATCCCCCTGTCTTAGATCCCGAGAGCTGCGAAAAAAACCAGTCGGAACCCCATTAACCAAAACCGAAAATCTCACCCTCCTCAACAGTATACTGAGCGCTTTTATAACAATGATGAACGGAAAAGGAGAAAGAGGATCCCCCCGTCTTAGACCCCGAGAGCTATGAAAAAAACCAGTTGGAACCCCATTAACCAAAACCGAAAATCTCACCGATGAAATGCATGCCTCGATCCACATCCTCCGTCTCACCCCGAAACCTAATCTCTTCAACAAATAAAAGTAAGAAGCTCTAGCTAATATGGTCATAAGCTTTTTCAATAGCCAGCTTACAGAGAACATCGGGGACACCACTACTCAACCTAGAGTCCACACACTCACTAGCGATGAGAGTAGAATCCAGAATCTGCCGGCCGCCAATAAACGCGTTCTAGGACTATGAAATAACTCCGTCCAAGACATCCCTCAATCTCAGGGCGAGGACTTTAGCTATAAGCTTATAAATGCACCCTACTAAATTAATAGGTCTAAAGTCCTTGACATCAGACACTCCACCCTTCTTAGGGATAAGGGCAATAAAAGAAGCATTCAACAACTTCTCAAACCGGCCATGCGATTGAAACTCATGAAAAGTGCCCATCACCTCACCCCTAACCACATCCCAACTCTCCAACACGAACCTCATAGTGAAACCATCCGGGCCGGGAGCTTAATCACCATTACATCTCTTCAGCGCCTTAAAGACTTCCTCCTTAGAAAAAATAATCTCAAGTCCATCCTCTCCATCTCAGAAATTGAGTTAAAGGCAAGGCCTCCAAATCGGGGTCTCCATTTGAATTTCTCAGAGTACAATCCTAGTAGTAGGAGGCAATCCCCCTGCACACTTCCTCCTCCCTACACAACCCCACCCCATCAATACGGATTTTCCCTCCTGTGGGCATTGGCAAGCCTATGACAAAACCTCGTATTTCAATCACCCTCCTTAAGCCATAAAACCCTAGATTTCTGATGCCACAAAATCTCCTCCAGAGTAGCAATCTCAGCAATATTCGCCTGACACTTTGCTCTCCGAACACTCTGAGCCTCATCAATACCACCCAGCCCTTCCAGCCACAATCAATCTCTGCAATCTCAGAAAGAGCCCTGTTTTGCGTCCATTCCAAATTCCCAAAATCCTCCTTGTTCCATCTCTGAAGCTCAGTCTTCAACAACCGAAGCTTCCCAGCGAAAACAAAACTCGAAGTGCTAAACACCGAAGCCTCCTCCCACCAGGACCTGACTCTCCCATGGAAGTTCTCCGCTCTATGATAATCTTTTGGGCACTTGGCGTGCCAAGATATGATAATCTTTTGGGCACTTGGCGTGCCAAGATATGATAATCTTTTGGGCATTAGCCATTAGGAAATTGGAGAGCTTCATAATCTGAACAAAAACAAACTTTGTGTATCAAATAATGATGCAAAACCTCAAGCTTTGATGGGAGCATGATACATAAGAAGGTGTCTGTGTGATCACTCTTGGTTTAAGATGGATACAATACCTATTTGACATACATTAATAAACACATTTCTACAAATTCTGATGAGTTTAGGAGAGGGCTTCAGTGAACCTTTTCGTGATTAATATGAAGATCTCTTTAGCATTATCTGTTCACACAGAATTTTGAAATTTCATGCCCTTGGTCATTAGTGCAATAATAGTGCTATTTTTATTTATTTTTTATTTATTTATTTTTAAAATCCAGTGTTATTGCGTTGCTAACTCATCGACACTTGCATGATTCGGTTTTGGACTTCAGAATTGGTCACTGCACTTTTATTGTGAATATTACCCTGTTTCTTTGTGCTGAAACAGCATAGCCTGAGCAGGACACCACATTGTTTCTCATGAATGAAATTGACAGAAAATTTGTTTCTTCTTTAAACTTGTGAAACCTAACACGTGATTAGCATGTTCATGAGGTGAAGAGCCCTCTGTTGTATAGAGGTATGCTTATAATAGCCTAGATTAACCATGTTCTTTTCCCCATATCCCTCTAACCAGTTCTAAAATTTATGGGCCAGCTCTATTTTTTCTTAAACACAGATCTATATCATATTTACTTTTTGGCAAAGTTGTTACCCTATCCTCAGAGTTGTATGTGGCAACCATACTTCATATTGTTGCATGAAAATTGAAACTTGAACTTGTATACAGTATATGTTACTTTACATGCTGATAGCATGGCCCTTTCAACTTGTCTCCTTTGGTATGTACTATTTTAAAACTTTTTCATGTAGTGCCTAGAAATGAATTTCATCTAGCTTTGCCATACTTGGAATTAATATGCATCCATAACTCTCTCCCTCTCTCTCTCTCACTCCCCTCCACACGGAAAAAGATGCATTTATATGTTCAATTCAATCTTCTCTGATAAGTGCATATATTTAATCTGTCATGATTGTCTTGATTACAGGAGGAAATTAGAAACCAAATTGTAGCATTGGAGACAGATCTGATGAGTGAAAACGAGAAGTTTACCTCTGCACTTGCTCGAGTTGAGAGACATACTGAAGCAAAGCGCGACATAGACAGGAAACTTGATATGCATTATCAACGCAAGATGTAAGATTTTGTATTCTGGTTCTTCATAAAACATCATAGATAGTTGAAACAAGTGGGAACTTTTAGTTTTGTCACCAACGTTTTTATTGCCCGTTCATTCTGTTTGGTTGTTTCAGTGTCATCTTTGCTAGTTAGTTGTCGTGTTTAAATGTTTTCGAGTTACGTCATAGTGTCTGTGATACTGATTAGCTGGTCTGCCTGAATGTTGTTTTTGTTTTTGAGAAGAGTTGCAATTTCAAAGGTTATTGTAAAATACAATATTGCGTGTCTCAATTCTTCTTTGTGTAGGTTGCTTGCCTGCTTGAAGACCTTTTATGTTGGTTATTTTAACTAGTTGAGAGAGACCCTAAAACTAAAAAAATCAGCTTGTTTAGGATTTTTGAGAGCAGGCCGATCAATAACCATGCAAATCCAAAACAGATTCACCTTTTTCCCGACGGGAGGTGAGGAAAAGGATTGAAACTCTGAACTTTATGCCTGATGTTACAGAAATAATAGAATAGGGAAATGTATGCTTTTCTAAAGGCACTTGTCTGTAATTTAGTAGATATCATTATATATTGAACTTGAACACATTGATTCAGTAGTTTCTGTCACCCCTTCCAAGTAGTACTACTGTACTAGAAATGTGGGCAAAACCTTTTCCTGTCCAATACTTCAAAGGAACGTTGAAACTTTAACTTTTCCTTCACGAGCTTAAGCCTAGGTCAAGGCCTCAAAACGATTAGTTTCCCAGCTACATGCCAGGAACCATTCTCAAGGACCATTTCTTTATATTGGGCACTTTAACTTGAAAAGGAAAAAAAAAAAAATCCTAGATATTTGTCCTAACATTCTCTTGGCACAATTCTTGATAAGCATGTGTGTAGTACTTTCCCTTTGGTAAGTGCTCAATAATCCATTCCTTTTATAATTCATCCCTTTCTCTATGATCTTTGAAAGAAAAAAGAAACCGGGTGAGTGTCATTCTTAGAAGAGGGTTGTATGCTTGAGATTTCCATTCTCAAATCTTTAAAATATCTGTGAGCTTATTGTGGAATAGACCACTCTAATTACCTTTGTCCCGTCCATTGGAGCTCAAATGGAGATGACTGCTGACATCCGGATCCAGAATAAACCTGTTATTTTTGCTTAGCTCAAGTGGGCTGCTTTAGTTGTCAATTAATATGTTGGCAATACTGTTATTTCTATAAATTGTTGAATTCGAATTTATCAAAGGAGGCAGGTTTACCAAGGGAATATTGATATTCCAACTTTTTTTCTCAATAAATAGCGTCTCCTGAGAGATTGCATTCGGAATTGGTTGGCTCAGTAGAGTATAACAGCATTAGCTTCTCCACATGGCAGGCTGGTTTGAAGCACAATTGGGAACCTCGTGGCACATCATCCACCTGATCCAGCAATCCATCTGGTAGATTATTGACTGCGCAGGAGTTCTCTCTGCTCCACACACCTTTTCAGTCTAGTTTCATTTTATTGCCCTCACAATCAGAATGATTTCTGCAATGGCTGAGCTTAAATCTTGCTCTGATGCGTCTCACTCGACCGGTTTGGTCTCGATTTTTGTTGTCCTTCTCGTAGCTTCACACTTCTTGATCTTCATACTTGCAGATTGAGCAACAGTCCAAACTAAAACAGATGCAACCTTCCTTTCCATTTCAGTGCCTTCCCCCTCGTTAGGCAAGATGGGTTTGGCAAGCTTTTTAATAGGCTTTAGCTCAAGAGTGAGTGAGGGTGTTGTTGCATTAGAGTTTGCTGGTGCAACACTAATGGCAGTTGGCTTCCCTTGTCTTTGCCGTCTGTGCCCAAGCTTGGTGTGCAATGGCAGAAGCTTTTCCTCCCTATCCTTAATTCCAATTGATACAACAAATCAGCTTTCCCCTCCAATAATTGCAGATTCTCTTGCACCCACAACATCAGCCGTTGTGGTTCCTCAGCTTCCCGCTGCTTCTGGATCTGTTTTATTCATCACAAATCTGCTGGAGCTCCTGCAGAACAACTGTCTCGTCTTCTTTCCCCTCACTAATCTGCTCTGCCTTTTCATGGGGACAATACGATATTGAATTTTCTGGCTCATACTTCGGAACCCAGCCCTAGGAAAGATCCAAATCATAATCTTTGTGCTGGGTGAGTTGGACAGAATTAGGGAATCATGCCCAAAAATCAGTTATTAATAATTCATTTAATATTCTTGAAAATTATGTCATTTGATTAATTTATATATGATTTTGATGGATAAATTTCATTTTATTTTTCTGTATATAAAAATATAAAAGTTAAACTATGATGCTATTTGGTACTATAATTCAGTATTTTGTTCTCACTGGAATTCTAAAAATGACTTATTGACACTCCTTGAATTACTGTAGTGCAGAAGCACTTGATAATCACTTGACTGCTATTCAGAGGGTCCATGAACACAGATCCCAGATCGAAGAAAGGAGAATAAGAGATGATGCAGCTTTCGAAGAGTCAAAAAGGAAGGAAAAGGCTCTTCAGGAAGAGAAACTGCGACAAGAAAAAATCAGAGCAGAAGCAGAGGTTTGTTAACTTGGGTTCAATTTCAGTGAATTTTTTTTTTGTTTGGGATGTAATATGCTAAGTGCATCCCATGACATCTGTAGCATTAATTGCTTTGTTTAGCAACAGGTTTACAATATTTTCCACCATCCGAACTTCTGAACTTCGAAACAGCGATCCAATGATTTCTGTTTCCTCCATGGCATCGGAAAACAGCATTTTTATATCAGACAGCATCATGGATTAGTTGAGAACGGGAAGCTATTGCCAAGAATTTCTTCTTCACATCTGCCAAAAATATTTCAAGCAGATAATTTTCCTCAATTGAATACTAGGGTTTTGCAAGGATGTGTGAGAACAGACAATATCATAATCACTTTATATTCATGAGATAGGGTGGAAGAAAATTTTGCTCTACGTATCATGGGCATATCAAAATTTTCTTGCCTTTGCTAGCTGTCATGCATTCATACTATATGTGCTCATGCTTCTACGTTGCTTTGTGATATTGATTGATATGTCAGTTATTAGATCGATTCCACTGTACCCACCTATAATTGGCTTGCTGGAACTTAATACCTTCTTTTGGCCACTTTATTCTAGTCCTGGCATATATACTTGCTGGAATTTCAAGAAAACTACTATGATGATACACTAGTATGCTTTTTTTAAGTTCTTGTTTGTTGGATGCAGGCAAGACTTGAGGCTGAAAAGAAGAGAGCTGAAGAAGCCAAAGCAGCAGCTTTGGAAGCTGAAAGGAGAGCAGCAAAAGAAGCTGCAGAAAGGGTTGCTACTGAAAATTTAAGAAGGGCTAGTGCTGCTGTAGTGCCTCTAAAAGAAGCTGATGGGCTCCAAACGGGATCTGGATCCAATATAATGCAGAAAGCAACATCAGCAGGTATTTATGTTTCCAAAAATTGAAGGAAAATATCCTTTTTTCCTCCCCTATTTCCAATTTTTAAGGAAATCAATAAATTGCTACTTGCAACTGAAGCCAAGAAATTTTATGGTCTCTTAGCATTTATAAAATCTTATTGGAATCAATTGATGATTATCTCTTTACGTGGTCAAATTCCTGAATATGATCAGCTATGATTACCTTCCCTCACTTACATTAACTGGTTTAGGCTGTTAAGCTTAAGTCATCACGATTTCTCTGTTTGCCACGGTGCTTTGCCTTTTTGGCCTTCCTCTTGTCATTGTAGACTAGATGCCTGTTCAGCATTACAGTTTGGTAGCCTAGAATTGCTACTATTTTGGAAAAACATTTTTACTTGTGTTTGGTGATATAAAAAAGAACTTTTTGGGAAGTTGAGATTTTTGGCACCTCGAAGTTTTTGGCTAAGCTCAAATTTGGTGTCTAAATTACATTTGCTAGTAAAGGTAAAATTTGTGGGAAAAATATGTATTTCTGAAGGAGTATAATAGTATATTTATTAAATATGCTTTACATATTTGCATTTGCAAACACTATTTTACCTTCCAACAACCACACTCTTTTATTGACAGTTCTAGAGGAATATTCGCTTCATTAGAGGCTACTGCAGCACAAAACAGGGCTCAATTCAAATAAAACAGCTGAAGTAATGCAAAATGTCAACTAAAAAGAGTTCACTATATTATTTATGTTAGCTATATTTCATTAAATACTGGCATCTTAATGGATTGTCAAACGCATTAGTGTTACTCAGATAGATTGGAGAACCATAAGAGAACTGTGTACAATTCTGGTTTCTTGACTTTATCATCATCAACTGGCCAATTTAATGACAGGAAATGTATTCAAGGGTGCTGCACGTGCTTTAGAGTTAGAGGAAAGAAGACTACAGATCTACAATGAAGTAGCTGCACATAAGAAGGCACTGGGATTGGATTCTAATAAGGTAACTGACTGCATGAAAGACACATGCTTTGTACTTTGTAGCTTCAGATTGTTTAGGTTGTTTTGATTTGATGCATAATATAAATGTTAATGTTATTTTGTTCATTTTTTTTTTTTTTTTTTTTTCAAGCACTATATGGTTTCCATTACGAATAAAATGAGTGTGGAAGCTGATACTAGAATGAGATCTAGGGTGGCTTATTAATTTAAATACAATTGCATATATTTATATATTCTTTTTTATGCCAAAGATCAGTGGAACCAATCAAGGGCGCGTCTGAAAATCTGAGTATTTGTAATCTCTCTTTCACATTAGAGTAATGGATGAAGCAAATGATCTAATCAACTTCTACAGCATGATTTCTAAAGACTTCTTCTGAATATTTAGTGAAGAACACTACAAAAATCTATAGATGCATTAGTAAGAAGAGGAAGTTTACATGCTAGCATGAGATAAGATTTACGCTCCAATGCACAGTAACATTCTGTAGATCAACTCAACTATTGAAGAAGTTATTAAAGAGATGAGGTCGTTTGTGGATGTTGCGAGGTTGCCCCGTCTGTTTCAAGGCGGAACTGTTAGATCTGCAAACACTTATCGAGGGCATTCGTTTTTCCTGGATAATGATTCGGTGGAAAGAAGAAGAGAGGACCTTCGATCGTGTTTGGTGGGTAAGTTTGACAAGGATGTGGGTGATCGGGCTCAAATCGCGGCTTGGGCTTCTCGTGTTTGGAAGGTTTCCCCCGGTGTTGTGATCTCACCTCCACCGGATTCTTTGTTGCTTTTCTGTTTCCCTTCGGCGAAGGAGGCGTCTCGTGTGCTTAAAGAAGGTTGTCGTGTTTGGGGGACGGCCACACTACGAATGAAATCTTGGAGTTTTAGGGTGGGGTGTTCCGAGGTGATGAAGGGTAAGGGCCTGAAGATTGTAACGTTGTTGGGTCTCCCGCTCCATCTTTGGAGCCATGCCTTGTTTGTTATGGTCGGCAATCTTTGCGGTGGTTTCATATGGGTGGATGCCGATGAAACAATTGACGCTGAAAGGGTACGCATAACAGTGTCCGACGGCAAGGTGTGTCCTCCTTTTGTTTTCATCCATGATGACCGTCTCTGCTACAAAGTGAAAGTGTGGGAAGAGAAGCCCCCTGAGCTTGTACCGACAACGGATAGTTTGGAAGGAGGTGATGGGTCACACCTGCTGAAGGAGACAGAATGGTTAAGGTGGGACTCGTTGGGGAAGAAAGGTTTGGCTGAGTTTCAGAGATGGGAGGAATGGAGGGATGATTAATGGAAACGCAACTCGGAATGTTTTAGGAGATTATTCACTCTGAGACGGAAAGAAGGCTTATCGGATGGTTATGGTGTTCGACGGCGAGAGAGATCTCGGGAAAGGCATAAGGAGGGTGGTCTTATTGGTCTTGGACGGCCGGCGTTTATGCAGATGTGGAGAAAGGCGCGTCGTCATGGTGCTTCTCACGTCAGTCAAGCACGTGGGAGGGAGAGCGTTGACAGCCATACACGTGGTTGGCGCAGGAGATTTGGCCGTTCAAAGTGGATGACAGCTGCATCCACTTTTATTTCAAAACATGGGGCTTCGATTAAAAGCAAGGCCGATTTTGGGGTTAATTCGGTGGCTGGGCCTATTATTGGGCTGAGGGTTAAGGCTGCTGGATCCAACTCACTCTCTCCCTCCCTCTTGTGGGCTTATGGTTGGTAAGCCTGGCCTGATTTATGATGCTAAAATGTCATCTGGTGGGCCGGATAGAGGTGGTGCGGCCCAATCATTGGATGTTGTAGGCTGTGGACATGGACCCGTTGTTGTGGGTTGCGAATTGAAGAATGGACCGGGCTCTTTTAATGCTTCTTCTGGGCCAGTGTTGGGCAACTAGTTTGGGCCTCTATGTGATGGTGTTGATAACATCGACTTTCAGCCAAACAGAGATTTTCCTGAAGGCTCTAGAAAAAGTCGACGTGCTAAGGAGCAGGTGCAGGGTCTCTGTATGAAGAAGAAAGTAATTTTCCCCCTGTGCGCAAAAAATGGTCTAGAAAGGAAAAGCAGAAGTGGATTCCGATTTCGCAGCTCGCCTCTGGATTGGGTATGTCTGGTGCTTCGCCTATTAACTCTCCTTCTCTCCCTTCTGCTTCCACTTTTTTACCTTGTGGGGTGTCTTGAAGGAGCTTGGTGCCGAAAAAGGGTGTTGTGCCCTCTGTGTCTAAATGCTTGTCTCCGGTTTTTGAACGGGAGCCGGTGCTTGATCTTGAGAAAAGACCTGTTGACGATGGTGATTTGGAGATTGGTCCTACTAGGGTGTGTGATGTTAACAGTGACGGATTTACTATGTGTGTGGGTCGGGATGTGAAGATACGGATTGATGATGTTTCAGCTACTGTGCTCTTGAACGAGTTGAGAGCTCATCTTGTGTCGAGGGGCTCTGTCACTGAATGGAATGATCGGTTGGCCGATGAGGTGTTTAGAACTCCTCTTTCTTGCTGCTCTCCATCTTTGTCATCTGTTGAGTATGGGGAGGATGAGTCATGCTCCTCAGCTCAGGGGGATGCGGGTATGGTTTTGTGGAACGGATGTGAGTCTGATTTTGATTTGCATACTCCTTTGGCAGTCGTTAGACCAGAAGATAATTCTGCGGAAGGAAGGGGATTTGATGCAGGGTTGGCTGATTTGGAGAATGATTGGATGAAAGAAAATGGTGTCGAGATAGGTTCTCTTTTGGGTGTGTCATTTGAGGGTCGGATGGAGGAGGCGACTAATCTTTTCCTTGATGTTCTTAATGCTCAGTTAGCTGATAGAATGGATTGCAAGGGAAGTGCTCCGGTGGTGAGTGAGGAGAGAGGGGCTCTAAGTCCCTCGACCGTTGTTACTTATGAAAGGAGGAGGAGGGGGGCTAGGGAGAGGGCCAGTGGGAGGAGGGGTGAGATGGTCAATTCTACTGTTTCCTTATGAAGCTTCAAATTCTCTCATGGAATGTCCGGGGTCTTAACGACCCGGCTAGAAGGAAAGTGGTGAAATCGGTGATTTGGAAAGCGGGTGGTCATCTTGTTTGTCTTCAAGAAACAAAGATTGCTTCCATGACGGATGTGATTGTTCGAAGTCTGTGGGGAGGGAGATTTGTGGAGTGGTGTGCCTTGGATGCAATTGGCTCTTCGGGTGGTATCCTGATTATGTGGGATGTCCGTTGGATCGCTTTGTTGGATTCTCAGGTTGGGCGTTTCTCGGCTTCCTGTATTCTATCCATGGTGGAGGATGGCTTTCGGTGGGTTTTTTCTGGTGTCTATGGGCCTACGGAGGATAAAGAATGCCATTTGTTTTTGGAGGAGCTTGGGGAGATTCTTAGGCGATGGTCTATGCCTTGGTGTATCGGGGGGGATTTCAATGTTGTTCGTTCCCCTTTTGAGAGATCGACAGGGGGTAGATGGTCAGCTAATATGATGGCTTTCTCAGAGTTTATTGACGCTTGCTGTTTGCTTGATTTGCCTTTGGTGGGTGGCCTTTCACTTGGTCCAGTGGACGTTCTCCTCCTACACTTTCACGTCTTGATAGATTCTTGGTGTCGAGTGATTGGGAGGAGAAGTTTTCTGATGTTGTTCAGACCATCTTGGCTCGTCCTTTGTCTGATCATGTTCCGTTGTTGTTGGATTGTGGCGGGCTGCGTAGCAAAAGATCCCCATTTAGATTTGAGAATATGTGGCTCCGGGCTGAAGGTTTCTTGGATCGAGTTCGTTCCTGGTGGGCGAGGTATGGAGTGGTTGGCACTCCGAGTCATTCTTTAGCAGGTAAGTTGCGTTTTTTGAAGAATGATATCAAAGTCTGGAACAAAGAGGTGTTTGGTAACTTGGTCTGGAGAAAGATTCGGGTTCTCTCTGAGATTGTTGCAATTGATAAGATGGAGAGTCAGGGTCTTTTGACGGGTCCTTTGAAACTTAGGAGGGTGGAGTGTCAAGCAGAGTTTGCTGAGATTGCTGTTTTGGAGGAGATTTCATGGAGACAGAAATCTAGAGCTTTGTGGCTTAAAGAAGGTGACAATAACACTAAATTCTTTCATAGACTTGCTAATGCGCACAGAAGGGGCAACCACATTGGGAGGATTAGGGTGGATGGGGTGTTGTCTATTAAAGAGGAGGAGATTAGTAAGAGCTTTTCTGAGTACTTTTCGACTTTGTTCATTGAGTCAGCTGATTGGCGTCCTTTGCTTGATGGACTTCATTTTGATTCTATTTTGGGAGAGGAGGTCTCTGTATTGGAAGAGCCTTTTTCAGAAGAGGAAGTTCTCTCTGCTCTGAAGAGCTGCAATGGGGATAAAGCTCCTGGGCCGGATGGTTTTACTATGAGGTTCCTTTTGGAGTGTTGGGAGGTGGTTCGGGAGGAGGTGTTGGGCTCTTTTCATGCCTTCCATGCTCAGGGCTCTTTTGAGAAAAGTTTGAATGCAACTTTTATTGTTCTTATTCCGAAGAAGGGAGAGGCATTGGATGTCAGAGACTTCCGTCCTATTAGTTTGGTGGGATGCTTTTACAAGTTGATTGCGAAAGTATTGGCTTCTAGGTTGAAGAAGGTGATGGATGGTGTCATTTCTGACTCTCAGAATGCTTTTGTGGGAGGTCGGCAGATCTTGGATTCTGTTCTCATTGCTAGTGAATGTGTTGATTCCCGTTTGAGTAGCGGTGTTCCGGGTGTTCTATGTAAGCTAGATATTGAAAAGGCATACGATCATGTGAGCTGGAGTTTCCTTCTCTACTTGTTAGAGAGGATGGGATTCGGTGGGCGGTGGAGGAGATGGATTCTTTTTTGCATCTCTAGCGCTCGTTTCTCTGTCCTTGTGAATGGAGCGCCGACGGGTTTCTTCTCTAGCTTGAGGGGTTTGAGACAAGGGGATCCGCTTTCCCCTTTCCTGTTCCTTTTTGTGATGGAGGCTTTTAGTAGATTGCTAAAGAAGGCTGTGGAGCTGGGTTTTTTGAGAGGCTTTCGGGTGGGCAGGGATGGAGCTTGTCTGTTGGAGGTTTCTCATTTGATGTTTGCAGATGACACTATCGTGTTTTGTGATGCGGATGCGTCCCAGCTGAGGTATTTGAGATGCGTTCTGATTTGGTTTCAAGTTGTTTCCGGCCTTAAGGTTAATGTTGGTAAGAGTATTCTTGTTCCTGTTGGGGATGTTCCGGAGATTGAGTTATTTGCTCACATCCTTGGTTGTTGCACTGGCTTCTTTCCCATTTCTTATTTAGGATTGCCTTTGGGTGCCCCCTTGAGATGTGTGGGGAGCTGGGATTCGGTTGTGGACAGAGTCGAGAGGAGGTTGGCGGGTTGGAAAAAGCAGTACCTGTCTAAGGGGGGTCGGGTAACCCTGATTAAGAGCACCCTTTCTAGCCTTCCTGCATACTTCATGTCTCTGTTTCAGATTCCTTCTTCAGTGGTTGAGAGAATTGAAAGATTGCAGTGCAACTTCCTTTTGGGGGGGGGGGGGGGGGGGGGGTCGTCTTGGTAAATGGCTTTGGAGGTTTTGGAGGTTTGGGATCGAGAGGCATTGGTTATGGAGGAAAGTTATTGCTAGCAAATTTGGGGAAAGTCGTGGCGGGTGGTGCTCCCTGGAGTTGCGTGGTCCAAGGGGGGTGGGAGTCTGGCATTTCATTCGGAGGGGTTGGGATGATTTCCGCAAGCATGTCCGTTTTCGTTTTAAAGATGGAAGGAGGATCAGTTTCTGGATGGATCTCTGGTGTGGGGATCTCCCTCTTGCTCTCGCGTTCCCTCGGCTTTATAGGATTGCTTCTCATCGACAGGCCATGGTTGTTGACTGTTATCATCTTGATAACGGGAGACTGTCTTGGGATGTTCAGTTCAGGAGGCATTTTCAGGATTGGGAGAACGAGGATGCTTCTCGTTTTCTGGAGCTGCTATACAGTCAGGTGATTTCTTTTGGGGGATCGGATTGGTGGTTCTGGATTCCTACCTCGCATGGCTGTTTTGAGGTTAGGTCCTTTTTCAGATGCCTTTCGGTTGGTCATGGAGATCCCTTCCCTTGGAAGTCTATTTGGCAATCCAAGGCTCCCCGCAAGGTCGCCTTTTTTGCTTGGACCTCTGTTCTAGGTAAGATTTTAACCCAGGATAATCTGAGGAGGAGGAATCAGGTGGTGGTTAATCACTGTTACATGTGTTTGTGTAATGAGGAGACTGTTGATCACCTCCTTTTACATTGCAGCATGGCCAGAGATTGTTGGGATCTGATGCTTCGTTTATTTGGGGTTCACTGGGCCATGCCTTTTTCCTCTAGAGGGTTGATTGAGGCTTGGAGAGGCGTCTCTGTTGGGGCTGGCATTAGGGATGCTTGGAGGGTTACGCCGCTTTGTATCTGGTGGTGTATTTGGCTTGAGAGAAATAGGAGATATTTTGACGGGTAAAAGAAGCCTGTTGCTATGCTCAAGTTCTTTGTTATTTATATTCTTTTTTGTTGGGTTTCAGGAAGAGATTATAGATCTATGGAGGAAATTATTGTTTTTTTGGCCTCTCTGAAGGTCTAAGGAGCCCTTTGGCCCTTCTGTTCCTTTTGTTCCGTTGGGCTTCGCTCCCCTTTTTAGAGCGTTTTTATAAAATCTTACTTATCAAAAAAAAAAAAAAGAAATTTTTTTTTTCAACTATCTTTAATTTTGAGTAGCACATCTTCTCTGAAAGTACTAAACTGGCGTGTTAGTTAGATGGGGGTGGTGGCTATGAACTTATGTCCTATCTATGTACTAGTTATATTTATGTCATAGAATTTTAGTGTCAGTTTCACATTTTAATCTTATTTATATTATTTAAACCCAGTAACCATATTCAACCTGAAGCTTTTTTCAGTAAGCTGAATTATGTATGTCGATCAATTAGTCACAAGTTGTCATTTCTGTCAGGATTATCGCAGTCGTGGGATGCAAGTAGCTAGACAGATCAGAACAATAAGTGGGTCAAAGGAAAATGTTAGGTGAGGCATATAACTTCATTTAAATTATAGCCTGTTCAAGTATCTTTGATTATGGGACTTCCCACTCCTGCAACCTTATCTAACGTTTTACTTAATTTGAGAAGCATTGTAATTCTGCTCGAATGCTTGTTCTGTTTGCGCTACATAGTTTGCTACTATATCTGAGACCAGTTTATGTGATCATGCTGTCCAGAAATATTACTATAGGCTCCATTTCAATGTTTTTTTTTTTTCCCTGGGTAAAGTGGAAAATTTATAAATATAGACAATATTGTACGTGAGGATAAACAAGGGCATACCCTCAAAGGAGAACAAATAGATCACAGATCCAGCAAGGAAAAACAAACAAGGCCAAGACCTCGAAGAACGAACAAACTAAAGATAGATCCTAAACCACAGTAAAGGACCGAAACAGAGTCAATGAAACAGATACCAGCATATTATACTGCATCAAGCAAGGACGTGTTAGCTGATTCTAAAACCTCCCACCAAATGAATCTAGCAACCTCCACAGGATCTCTAGATTTATGTTGGTGCAGTTTGAGTTCCTCTCATACCAAATTTGCCTTTCTGTGAGTAATTCTCCTATCCACAGACCATTGAAGCAGGTGGTGAATTGAAGAATACTGCTGCAAGTTCCAGTCCAGTAAATCAGAGAACCAGGTCCAAATAGCCACTGCAAATGGGCACATCACAACAACTGATCCAAATCATCATAGGCAGCCCAACAATTGTGACATATTCTGTATACCTCTAATCCTCAAATTCTTTAAAGAGAGCAATCTATTTTGAATAGCAAGGCAGCAAGTTATAGAAGCCCGGCCTGCATCCACTCCAACACACCTTGAACCAGTTGACAATAGCCAGCTTAATTTGACATTGCTCCCGGGCACTTTAAAGGAGAAAGTGCCATGGTTCCAACAAGAGAGTCATTCGCGGGATGAATTGGAATTGAAAGAAACAAAATTTCTCAGCTGGTTAATTCAAAGTTGGTTGGTGTTTGATGTGAATTTGCAATTTTTTTTTTGTTGCATCTCTTAAAGTTTTCCTCATCAATATTTTCCAACTTGGGTTGGAATACTTCAACGCTGTTATTTGATCAACAAATTGGTTGTTACTTATCAATTCATTTTTTGCAGAGCAAAAACAGATGAATTAATTAAGATCTTCATAGATTCACCTTGGCCTCAGACTATCAGTGTTGCAATGTTCGCGGAGAAGGTAATATCCATTGTTTATGGTTGATAGTTTTTTGTTCCTTCCCTAGTTCCTTTACTTGGCTTGATTTGTTTGCTGGAAATATGATGAAAAGAAAAGAGAACAATATTTTGAATTATTCAATATGTTTTAAGTGCCATGCTTAGATATTCTGTAGGTGGAAAATGGTGGGCGTCTCTCTCTATCTCTCTTGTTTTCTTTTTCCTCCTTTTGAAATCTTGGGTTATTCAACTTTTGGATCTTGGATGCCCACATTTTGTTTAATGTATATACAAGTCAAACCATCAATAATTACATTGGTATATATTTTCTTTTGTTTTCCTCCATTTTTTTCTGTAACTATATGGAGTCTCTACTGTGAAGCTGTATACATCACAATTTTAACTCTCCCTTTAGAAGTCATAGACTGTTGTTGCTTCTGTTGTGCGTATGTAAAATTCTAGTTTCTTGCTTGTTTATCAAGAAAACAAAGAAAAGAAAATAAAGGAAGAAAGAGTTTAAAAAGTAAATAAATCAATGTACTGATGGTGTTCCAGTTTTGATATTACAGGTTGTCGCACTTTGCATAAACCCCACCAAAAGCATTTTTGCTTATGGTCATGTCATTGCTCTTGTTACTGCACAGGTAATGCATGTTTTGTTTCTTGCTATTGCTTGCCCCTACTTTTAGTTGTTTAATAGCTTATGCAGATTAAAAATTATAATAACAATATAAAAGAATCAAAGAATAAAACACTCAGTTTTTTTACCTGTTAATGGGCCTCACCCTGATCTTAACCAGGGCAGTAGCAGCATACATTTTTGTGTTAGACAGCGTCTCTCAGATGATATGCATTATTGAATCTCAGTGAATTGATTTTGGATTGGTTTGATATTCCCAAATAATTATTAATCACATGAACTGAAAGATTAATCCGATATCAACCAATCAATCAAGTAAATATTCCAGCAATCATATGGCTACACCACAAAAAACAGGCACACAAGTTTATCTGAAAAAATCCTCAATGTAGAAGGTCGCAGGACAATTATAGAACTAATCATCCGATTTATCAAGTTCGAAACAAAGATAAATTATTTAACACTTGGAGCAATCTATTTTTACTATTCTTCCTAAAGAGCTCAGTCTCTGGTGCCAGCATCCCGGTACCATGTTCATTACTTGTTCCCTACTTTTAAATTTGTGCGGTGTCAGACCCTACTTTTGCAAAAAGGTAACAAACCCCCACCCACCCCCCCTCAAACTGCTTTTCAGTGACATGTGACATAAAGTATTTTTATTATTCCGTTTTTACCCTTTTAACATGCCAAAAAATGTCCCTCTTGCAATTGTTATATTAATTTCCAAATTTTGCCCTATGCAACTAATCTGCCTTTATTTTCAGTCAAATTTTGACTTGCATATATATTCACAAATATGTTTATTACTGTATGTTCATGAACATATGCATATGCCTCTATCAAATTTTGATATGCATATGTTCATGAAGATACACTAATAAACATATTTACGTGTATACATCATCTTCATCTTTTCCAAGCATAAACCAGCAAAGAAAAACCAGAAGGGCCCTTGAGCTCATTCTCTTCCATACTTGCCCTTTCCATGACAGTGCTTCACCCTGCGGAAGCCGCTGACAACAACGATGCCGAGCTCCTTAATTCCTCAACAACCCCTTCTTCATCTTCTTCTTCTCAAAAACCCAAACCCACACGATTAGTGTGACTACAAACTACAAAGCCACCCATTCTTCTCTTTCAAATGGGTCAACTCATAATCATCTTCAAAATCTTCATAAAACCCTGTTTACTGAAACCTGAACATGAACAGAGCATACCCATCTTGGTCCTCATCCTCAAGCAGCCAGTTATATACATCCCATGGGACCTGTATGTGAACCCCATCAACTTCAATCCTCTCATTGCCATCTGAATTTCCCCTTCAAATGCTTAATCTGCGAACCCTTTTGTGATCAACGCTGAAACTGAGTCTTGGATCATCATTTACTCTGCAGTCTATAGATTTATATCTTGTTTTGCCTCCAAAGTTCGCTTTTGTGGTGTATAGTTTGTTTCCTCACACTCGCTCTCTTCTCAGAACCATATTTTGGGTCTTTTCAGGCTTTTTTAGCTCTTGTTTTGGCATAAACTTCGTTGGCAGAGTCGCCAATGAGGAGGGTCATTTTGCCGGCAATGTCCATTTTTGTCATTTCCTATGTGAATATTTTTAAAAATAATGTAAGATAAACTGTAAGGATATTTAAGTCTTTGTACGAGGTTAAGGTGTCAGGAGGGGCCCCTATTTAAATACTTTATAAACTTTGGACGGGGGATTGGTTTGTTTAGGGAACATCAGGGGGTATATGTGCTATATTTTGATGCTAGAGGGGTGTTTTGTGCACTTAACCCTTATCATTAATTCGGTGAGGCTAAGCCTTCCCAAGTTTCCGTCATTCTGCATATATCAAATTAAATGTGTATTAGACTGCTGATTATTTGAAAAGGGCTGATTTCTTACAATTACTTTTATGAACCTAGGTCCCGATTGCTATGGATCTTTTGCTTGCTGAGTTGAATAGAGTTTGCATCTTTACCGTTCCAAAGTACATAAATAACTCAGAGGTACTCAATTTCAGGTCAACCTATTATTTATTGTAGCTTTTAGTAAGGGATGTCATCCAAATTAGTAAAACGTTGCTGCCCTATTTCCCTTTTCGCTGTTTTAAGTATGAATTAGCTATGGAGCATTAAAGATTGGAAGTGTCAAAAGTTTAACTCTTTTTTTTTCTCTGTCTCTTCAGTGGCTCTTCTGTTTTCTATGTTACTTTTGTTAATTGATGCTGCTGCTGTAGTTAATTTTTATTGTTATTGATGTCCCTTTCCCCCCTCCCACACACACACCGACTTACAAATGAGTTTTATTAAAAAAGAAAAACTATACAAAAAATATAGGGGGCATACCCCCAAAATACCAAGGTATAGACCAACCCCACATTAACCACCAACTAGCAAGACAATTTGTCTAAAAACAGATAACAGAGAAAAGACGTACCAATCCCACTCCGCCTCCCTAAACCATACAACCAAACTCACAGCTTTTATCACATGAGTATTACTCAAACTGCACTTGCAAGGAATCAAAGCATAAACCAAATAACTGAAGGCTCCCTGATTTGCAGCCAATTGATTCTTCCAAATATCTTCCAACTCCCACCAGTACAGCAAGAACAAAAACTCAAAGCAAAACATATCAGTCATGGGATAAGTTCTGAATTTCAAAATAATTCAGGGCCCTCTGGTCCAATACCTCCCATAACCCCATTTCCAAAAACCAGCCTCAAGAAACACCATTTACCACCAACTAGCCAAGACAAATTGTCTAAAAACAGATAACAGAGAAAAGACATACCAATCCCACTCCGCCTCCCTAAACCATACAACCAAACTCACAGCTTTTATCACATGATTATTACTCAAACTGCACTTGCAAGGAATCAAAGCATAAACCAAATAGCAGAAGGCTCCCTCATTAGCAGACAATTGATTCTACTCCCACAAGTAGAGCAAGAACAAAAACTCAAAGCAAAACATATCAGTCATGGGATAAGTTTTGAATGTCAAAAATATTCAGGGCCCTCTGGTCCAATACCTCCCATATAATCACTCTAGCACAATGAGCAGCATTACAAGGAGCTGGAATATTCATATTCTGTTTTGTAATTCTCCAAATGGTTCATAACGAAGTAGTGAAAATTTGCCTGTACAAAGTATTTTTCTGATCGTCATTCTTGAATTGATTTATAAACCATTGGAATAATTGATCAAAAGAACTAAATTGCCCCTATCTCCAGTTAAAGGCTTCAAAGATCCAACCCCACAGTTCTTGAGCAAAACCACACTTGAAAAATAAATGATTGATAAAGTCTTCATCATTCATACAGTTATGACAGATAGCAGTTAAAGTAATATCTCTCTCTTGAAGATTCAGCAGGGGAGGAATTTTGTTAACAACAATCAAACAAGCAGTGAAGCAAGCTGCTGGTCTCTCTCTATTCCACATCAGTTTATACCATTTCATCTTCTCATTGGCATGTCTACTGTTCTGCCATAAAGATTTAAAGCTGAATTGCCCATGTTTCCCACCACCTGATCTCCATCTGAATAGAGAGGGGTATTTGCAACACTATTCCAAATATGATTAACCTCAGAAGACATATGAGTAGTTCTACACCAATTACCATTCTGTATCACAGCACTCAACCAAGCAGATTTATGCAAATCCAAATCTCTGTTGAGTCTGCTCCCAAAAGTTTGCAGCAAGGATTTCCCATTCCACAACAGATCAATGAAGAGCCTCACATTTTGGCCGTTACCAATTTTGAAATTAGATCCACCAATAATGGTTTCTCTAGCTTCCAGTAAATGATTACTGAATTGAGAGAATTTAGTTTGCTTTGTACAACAACAAATAGAAGTAAAAGCAGCATTCAGAGCCATAAACCACTCAACCCACCTCCTAGTCCTTTTCTGAACAAATTCCCAGAATAAGTTCGTTTAGCATTTGAATCAATCTCCCCGAATACCAAAGCCACCTCCTCTTTAGGCAAGTCACAGAGCTCCATTTCAACAAGAGTAAAGATTCTCTACTACCCCAAACAAAAGATTTTAACTATCAATTGAGGAGCTTGTGAAAGCAGGGATTTTAACCACCTTGCACCAATAGTAGAAAAAAGATGAAATAACTGTTTTAACCAACTCTATTCTACCAGGCAAAGTTAAGCTGACAGATGACCAACTGTGAATTTTAGCAACAACTTTGTCTAATAATGGTTTACAAATCAGCATGCTTCAACTCCCTATCCACCAGAGGTAGCCCCAAATAATTCATAGGAATTGTTCCCAATTTCATGTTTAGAATTCTCATTAAACTTCTTTCTTCTGAATTGACTTGGAGAAAAAGATAATGACTTTTCTCAAAATTTGCTGACAAACCAGATAGATTTTGAAACTTTTTGAGCAGAGAAGCAATGCAATTGGCTGTATCATAGCTACCAAGATCAGATCATCAGCATAAAATGAGTGAGATAATTCAAAATTGGTTGTTTTTTTGGCAGTATGACACAACAGAAACCTCCCCACAGAAACCTCCTTTTGCACCAAAGCTGAAAATAATGCAGTGATTAAGGTAAATAGCAAGGGTGAGAGAGGGCACCCGTCTTAAACCTTTTTGAGGTTGGAAAAAGCCAGCAGGAGGGCCATTAACAAGCACAGAGAACCAAGCAGAATTCAGGCATTCTTTTATCCATCCAATCCATCTCGAGCCAAAACCATAATCTTGCAACAACTTAAACAGAAGGACCAATCTACTGAAATCACAGGCCTTCTGCAAATCTATTTTCAGAGCCATAGCTGATTTAACTCTTCTAACCCTCTAACCATTTCATTGACTATAATGACTAATGACGTTATGATGATGACATGATGTATATTACTTCCTTTAATAAAGGCACTCTGCTCTTTCCCCACCAGCAAGTTCAAAATACTACCCAGTTTGTTTGCTAATAGCTTAGGGCCCGTTTGGTATGCGTTGTGTTTTGTAGTGTTTTGTTTTAGCCTAGAACAGAACAAGTGTTTTGTAATGTGGTGTTCTGAAATGAGTACAAAACATGTTTGGCGATGAAAATTTGCGGTGAGAATTTTAGAATAGAAACATGGTAGAACATGTTTGGTAGCATTTTTTACCTTCTGAAAATATCCCTAAATTTAAAGATACGGGTTTTGATTTTTTGAACAATCTGAAATGATATGCCCATATGGGTTTGATATAGGTAATAGGTTTTGAACTTTTGATTCTTGCAGACAGATAGATAAACTGAAATATATGGGTTTTGAACTTCTGATTCTTGTAGATTTTGTAGTTTGCAGTTGCAGAGAGAGAGAGAGAGAGGGCAACTTCAGAGTTGAGAACGAGAGTAGAGCTTGATTATAAAAAGATCATAAAAAAGTGTCACCAAATACGATTTAGTTTGCAAAACAAGAATTACAGAGCTTGACTAGTTGATTTAGAAAAAAAAAATAAAACAAAACCCATACACACAAGTTAGCAGTTGCAGAGAGAGAGGGGGGCAAGCTTGAGAGTTGAGAGACAGCGGCTGAAGCTTGCGAACGGCGAACCAGAACTGGAACAGCGGGCGATGGAAACTGAAAGATACGGGTTTTGATTTTTTGAACAATCTGAAATGATATGCCGATATGGGTTTTCAACTTCACAGATCTGAAATATATGGGTTTTGAACTTCTGATTCTTGTAGATTTTGTAGTTTGCAGTTGCAGAGAGAGAGGGGGCAACTTCAGAATTGATAACTAGAATAGAGATGGAGGCGGGTTTTGAACTTCTGATTCTTGTAGATTTTGTAGTTTGCAGTTGCAGAGAGAGAGGGAGAGAGGGCAAGTTCAGAGTTGAGAATGAGAATAGAGATGGAGGCGGGTTTTGAACTTCTTATTCTTGTAGATTTTGTAGTTTGCAGTTGCAGAGAGAGAGAGAGGGCAAGTTCAGAGTTTTTTTTCGGAAATTAGGGCAAGTTCAGAGTTGAGAACGAGAATAGAGATGGAGGCGATTGGGAGGCTGAAATGATTTGCCCTACAGTGTAAAATATGTTACCCCCGCTACAGCGCAAACTGGGCCGGTCAATTTGTGGAACAAGCCAGAACACAATTTTTTTGTTCCAACTTTTGGCCCATATTTTGAAAGTGTTCTGACACTGTTGAAAGCAACACAGGCCTGTGCCAAACATGTTTTGGGCCTCAATAGTGCTACTGTAGCACTTTGGGAACAAAACCAAACACTACAAAACACAAACCAAACAGGGCCTTAGTATTCACTTTGTAGATTGTAGTACATTAAGAAATTGGCTTGAAGTCTACTGCCTTGCAACAGTTCTGCTTTTTAGGAAAAAGGCATATAAAAGATGGATTAAATGCCTTGTTCATTCTAGACTCGGAGAAAAAGTATTGAACAACACTAATTACCTCTTTGCCAACTATATTCCAGAATTGTTGGAAAAATCTGGGAGGAAATCCATCAGGACCTGGGCTTTTATCAGCCCCAAGCTGAAAAATAACATCTTTAATATTTTCTATTCTGACCATCTCCTCAAGAGCTTGAGCTTCCATTTTAGAGAGACATCTTCTAGAGAGGGATTTGAGAAGACTGATTCCACTGATTTTTTTTGTTTTTTTTTTGATAGGTACTGATGTTTACTGTAAATTTTTTAAAAATATTCAACTAACCAGTCCCTAACTGGATCTAGATCAGTAGCCCAATCACCTTGATCACTCTGAAGAGTGGTAATAGCATTCACAGCCCTGTGTTGAGCAATCTCCTGATATAATAGTTTAGAACATGTATCATTCTCTTTTAGCTAATTCTAGATTTCTGGGCCATTAAGACGTCCTCATTGAAAAGGGCACGATCCAGATCCAATTTAGCTGCATTCTCAGATTTTTACAGCTTGCTTCACATTCTGAAGCTTTTTTGAAAGGACATGCAGAGGATTTCCTACCACATTAATCTCCCAAGCCTTTTGAACCGCATCTCCAATTCCTTCCTGCATACACTAAACCTTTAAAAATTTGAAGGGTTTAGGCTTTGAAGCAATTTCATCTGTGGAGTGTATGATCAGTGCATGGTGGTCTGAGAGGCTAGCAGTAGACAATGCAAGCTTAGAATTTGGAAATTCAATACCCCAGTCAGGAGATTTTAACACCTTGTCAAGCCCATCATGTATTCTTCTACCAATTTGTTGTTTGTTGCACCAAGTCCAAGTACCATTGTCAACAGCCATATCGGATAGCCCCAAGGTAATGATGGTATTATTGAATTCATTCATAATTCTCTGAGGTATAGCCATCCCCCCTTTCTTTTCATCATGTATTCTTCTACCAATTTGTTGTTTGTTGCACCAAGTCCAAGTACCATTGTCAACAGCCATATCAGATAGGCCCAAGGTAATTATGGTATTATTGAATTCATTCTTATTTCTCTGAGGTATAGCCATCCCCCTTTCTTTTCTTCATGATATGACAGTATTCCAGTCCCCCAACAGAATCCAAGGTCTGTCAATCATATCCTGACTTTGAAGGAGGCCTCTCCATAAATTTCTTCTTTGACCCTCAGTATTATTAGCTGCACAAACTGGGGAAGCAAAGAAAGGTTTTTTTTTTTTTTTCTTTTTAAATCTTCAAGCTGAGTTACTTTAAGCAGCATAAACTGATCCCCTTCACTGATTGTTTGAACATCATATATACAAGGATTCCACCCCACTATGATTCTCCCCATTTGATGAGATGTTAGTTATTGATCCATGCCCATCTAGGATTTATTCTCCTTGTGGTAGAGCTGAATTTATGAGATTTCAATCTAGTTTCAAGCAAACACACCATATTTAAACTATTTGACTTCCTTTTGCATTTGGGGCTTATTCAGGCCCCTCATGTTCCAGCAACCTATCATGGATTTTTTTTTTTTTTGTGGGAGATTCCCACTGGACATTGTCCTGGTAACTCTATCCGAAGAACATACTACTCCCCTTCCCTTCATCTTATTTGGGGAGGAAGTAGAATTCTGTTTAGCAGCTCCATTTCGCTTTGTTTTATAAGAGAACTGTAATGAACCCCTCATTGACATTCTTAGTCATTGGAAGACCTTCTTTGCTGTTAGAATTCTCTTCACTTTTCTGCTCATCAGAGTAAGAACCACTATGTTCATATTGATTGTTACTGATGGTGTTCGTTGTTGTTGTCTGGATTTTAAACTGTTCTGGCTACTTCAGTCAGTATTTGATACAGAAGAAACTTACAAGAAAGCCATTGGTTTTCAAGAGGAAGATGGAAAGATTGAAAGCAAAGACAGATACTTAGAGCGGATGGTATCATATATGAAATTATATGGAGCTCTTGTTCAGGTTTGTCTCTCTCATACCTGCATTCTGATTTTCATTAGTTCTCTAAATTGAAGTTAAGGAGAACATATCATTATATGCTGGTATAGCAAGCATTTTATTGATTATTGTTGATGCGAAAATCCTTGCGACTCGGAACGACGGCGTTTACCTGCAAAACAAAGGGACGCCACCTCGAATGGCACCGGTGGGGTGCCAACTGAGGACCCTCCAACGATCAAGTTAGTACTTGTAATCGTATCACATAATAATTATGTAATTTCTGTTTAGGGGTTTTTTCTTGTACCTTCTTTAACGGCTTGGTGCCCTATTTATGGCTGTCGATTGGAATTAAATTGGTTCAGCCGATGTCCATGGTTGAGGTCTCCCTTATCATCCGCTTGTGCGAGATCAGAGGAGATCTGTTTGTTGCCAGATTTGTCGGGTATATGATTTACTTCTTTGACTTCCTCAAATTGTGCCAAGGTTATTCTTACCCTGTTGAACCACGTCATCTTTCATTAACATTGATAATGAAATATTCTCATTCTTATCCAATGGAAATATCATCATTCAAAAGTCGAAGAGGTCTGGCGACTGGTCAACACTTAGTTGCCTCTATCGTTAGGTCAAGGTAGGTTAGGTTTATTTTTCCTTATTAGTTGCCCCCCATTCCCAAGCTTGCTCGTCTAGCTTTGGGAATGTGAATTTTTTTTTTTTTGGGTCCTCGGCACTGCTCACTTGAACAGTAGTTTTTTTTTTTTTTTTGCCCTGGGCACTGTTCCCGCGGGTACTATTCAGTTGAACAGTATTTTTATTTTATTATTATTATTATTTTTTACCCTGGGCAATGTTCCATCGGGAAGAGTGCCCGCGGGTACTGTTCACTTGAATAGTAAATAAATTTTTTTTTTTTGCCCTGGGTAATATTCCCTTGGGTACTGTTCTTTTGGGTAATCTTCCTTTGGGTACTATTCCCTTGGGTACGCTTCCCTTGGGTAATTAATACAGATACCAAATCAAGGTTCTGTTTTGGAAGGGCACGTATTCATACCCATGATCAATGACTCTTAGTGATGTAAAACTGGATTTTTCTTTTGAAAATCCAATATACTAGTTGTAAACTTTATGGGTTTCAGTCAGCCCATCCCTTTGGCAAGGGAATAAATTTTATGAGTTTCACTCAACTCGTCACACCTTTAATAAGGGAATTAAATTTTACGAGCTTCACTTAGCTCGTTCCTTTAGTAAGGGAAGTAGGTTTTACGAGCTTCACTTAGCTCGTCCCTTTAGTAAGGGAATTATGTTTTACGAGTTTCTCTCAACTCGTCCCTTTAGTAAGGGAAGTAGGTTTTACGAGCTTCACTCAGCTCGTCCCTTTAGTAAGGGAATTAGGTTTTTTGTTAGCTTTTTGTAAAGCCCTAATTACCACATAGGTATAACATGTGAGGGAGTTACCCTCCATTTAAAACAATAAATTACCAATCAATAAACATCGTCCCTTTAAAGATGAACTTCTCAGGAACTTGTGAGGAGGATCGTTTTTTGACCTGAGCTTTGTAGGTTAAGTCCTGATCTTTGATGACCATACTTTTGTCAGTAAGGCCCTGGTCTTGGTCTCTGATGACCAGACCTGGGATGACTAGGCACTGATCTTGGATGACCGAGCCTTTATAGACTTTGGGCAATCAATTCTTAATCTTGGTTGACTAGGCCTTGGTTTCGGATAACCAAACCTTGATTTATGATAACCAAGGGTTGTACCCTTATGATCTAACTTTTGGTGTTGGAACTATTTTCTCTTTCTAGAGTCATATTTAGATCTGTTTGACCATTGATGTCTCGACCCTTTAATAAGGGAAGTAGTCGTTCTTACTCCTTTGGTAAGGGGTTTGTAATATGTTCAAGCTTCACTCAGCATGCCCTATTGATAAGGGAAATAATAATTTCAAGCTTCACTCAGCCCGTCCTTTTAATAAAGGGTTATTTTTTACAAGCTTCACCTAGCTCGCCCCTTTAATAAGGGGATGTTTTGCCCAAGCTTTATATGCCTGCCCTTTAATAAGGGAGTCAAAGTTTTTCACTTTTGTGGACTTATCTTTTATGCTTGCCTTGCTTTATGGCTTTGGTGGTAGTGACCCATCAAATTTGAAGTGCATGTGACTAAGCTTGGTTCCTGGTAGAAAAGACCATCATTGGTGCTTGATGGTTAAAAACCTCATAGGACTACCTTGGACACGGTGGACTCATTGATTGTAGAAACTTCACTGGACTTAGAGTCCTTCCCGGTGTGTAAAGACTTACCAGGTTATGGTTTCAGAGGATCGGGCACCGGTCTTGGACGACTAGTGCCCCCGAGGGGTCGCTAAAGGAGAGAGACTAGAAACCCGACTAGCTCAATGTACCAAGGTTGGTACGTTAATCTTCTAAACCTTGTCATCATATGTAGATCGACGATTGATATCGTGTGATCCACTATTCTACCCCCGATGGTGGAATCTTGGGTGATGACCCATTCTATAGACGTTTATACAGCGGACGGGGTGCCTGGTGCTGCAACAATTTACAGTTGTCTAAAAATATTAGATTGTGTTAGAAATGATTACTGAAAATTAACTTGTAATGAATTATCAATCCAAAATTCTGCATAATCTGAAGTCGATAGGCAATTCCTGCAAGGGAAAAGAGATGACGATTGTCGTTTGGTAAGTGGAGGCTTGGTGTCCAGCGATTGGCTTGATGCCTAGTGGATGGGGGCGTGGTACCCAACGGCTGACAGATGATGGTCTGGTGGCCAGTACCTCATTGGGTTCAATGATCGCCCTTAACTTAGGAACTTCATTGGGAATACAGACCTCATTGGACATGGGATCTTGAGGGACATTGGACCTCCTTGGACCTGAAGGCCTCGATACATTCTTGGGTGTAGAAGGCCACCCTGATTGCACGAAGGGACGGAGTAATGAGACTCCGTTGCTAGAGACATCCTCAGTGGTAGAGGCTTTACTAGTAGGTAGAGACCCCCCTGTTAGTAGTGATCTTCTTGATGGGTGGAGACCTACTCATTTATGTAGGCGCAAAAGGACCATGTCTTAGTCTTCAACGATCAGGCCTTAGTAGTTGGCTGCTACCAGATATGAGATAGAGTTTGGTCTTAGACGACCAAACCTTAGTAGTGAGGGGACCAAGCATCGCTAGATGGAAAACACCACATTGGATTGCCTGGGTCGACGTGCCAAATTTTGATTATTGTCATCGTACACTGGGTGGCATCACGCAACCCACCGTTTTGCCCCCAATATGATGGACAGGTAATCATGACGTAGAGACCCGTCCTTATATAAGAACATGGAAACCTGTTGTCAACTAATGACTTTGGGATGGTTTCCATGATCGGAAACTTTCGTCTTGCCGTCCGAGCCAAGTCGCGTCAGGATTATTATTTCTTCAGAGAACTAATCGTTCCCACAGACGGCGCCAGTTGTTGATGCGAAAATTCTCGCGACTCGGACCGACGACATTTACCTGCAAAATAAAGGGACGTTACCTCGAATGGCACCGGTGGGGTGCCAGCTGAGGACCCTCCGACGATCAAGTTAGTACTTGTAATCGTATCACATAATAATTATATAATTTTTGTTTAGGGTTTTTTCTCGTACCTTCTTTAACGGCTTGGTGCCCTATTTATGGCTGTTGATTGGAATCAAATTGGTTCAGCCAATGTTGATGGTTGAGGTCTCCCTTATCATCCGCTTGTGCGAGATCAGAGGAGATCCGTTTGTTGCCAGATTTGTCGGGGATGTGATTTACTCCTTTGACTTCCTCAAATTGTGCCAAGGTTGTCCTTACCCTGTTGAAACACGTCATCTTTCATTATTCTTAATAATGAAATATTATCATTCTTATCCAATGGAAATATCATCTTTCGAAAGTCGAAGAGGTCTGGTGGCTGGTCAACACTTAGTTGCCTCTATCGTTAGGTCAAGGTAGGTTAGGTTTATTTTTCCCTATCAATTACGAAAAAGGCAAAACAGTTAATTTTGCCAATTTTCTTACTCCGTACTTGAAAAAAAGAAATAAATTAAATAAACAATTGCCAATCTTCAGTTTTTTCTAGTTCCTAAAAAACACTTGTTATGGCAGACACAAGCTGGGGGCGTCCAAAATTTGCATGGTCTGGAAGAAGGTTGGGCATGGCTTGCAAGATTCTTGAATGCTCTCCCTGCAAATCTATACACTGGAATCGCACTGCATACGTTCCTCGAAGTAAGTTGATACTTAAAATTGTCTTTGTACACTTTTAAACTCAGTACAATATTATGCCTAGGAGTTATTTTTCTTCCCAGATGGCAGGGTTTGCTCTCTACAGAAAGTACAAATCTCAGTTCAAGAAGTTACTGAACATCATTTCGCGTGACTTCTTAAACGCACTAAAAGAACGTGGTGGAGAAGACACAAAGATTAATAAAGTCATCACAAATATTCAGAATTACATAGAATCAAACCAGTGCCGGGAGGAACCAGAAGGATGGCGCCTGGAGAGCTCTTTGTTATCGAAGTCTATTGCTCCCTAACCAGAGTATCAGGAGCAGTATTATCACCAGGGGAATCGGCGTTACTAGAGTACCAAGAGCAGTATTATCGCCAGGGGAATCGGCATTACTAGAGTATCAGGAGCAGTATTATCGCCATATGAAATCTTTGCGGGTTAGATTATTGTATTCATCTTTATGTACGCTGCATATAATCAAAGAAAAAGGCATGTCCACGGGATATAACATTCCGATTTCTGCCTAATAGAATTCATTGTTTAAGTTGAACTGAGTTGTTTCTTGATTCTGGTTCTTATATGGAGAATGTAAAGGATGTATGGTTTGGAATTAGTCCCAGAATTGCCTGGGCAGTTTTGTAAGTTCAATCTGTTTTGTGTGTGTGTGTTTTTTTTTCTTTTTTTTTTTTCCTTTTTTTTTTATGACTAGAAGTTTCGCCTCTTGGATCTTGACAAAACTAAGCAATCAAAATGGCATTGCTGGAAAGTTGGGGTCTTTCAACTTTGAGAAACAACCCTACACCTGAAGCCAAAAGATGTCTACTTCTTTGAAGCAAAAAGTGTACTCAAGCAATATCTATATATATATATATAGAAGTAAATTGGCTTTTGCACCTATGTGGGTATATTATTAATTTCAAAACATAATTTACAGATGGAAAATAAAATAAGTACAGTAAGTAAATTTATTTATTTTTGGTACCAAGGCTCAAGTTGATCTAGGTTTGGGTTATCAATGTAATAAAGGGTTTGCTTGGTTTATAACTCTGAAAACAGTTCTTAATAACTCATAAAACAGAGAATTATAAAAGGTAATTATCTGAAAATAGTCACTTTTTTTTTTTTTTTTTTCTAAAAAAAAAGAAGGTAAAATAGCCCTCTTTGAAATTGAGTTTTCGGAAAATTGAATTAAACAACGAGCTTTCCTTTTTCTATGGATGTTGCTTTGTTAATTTTATTTATCATATAAAAAACTCATTCCTTTTTTTCAAAATGTCAAATTATTGTTTCAGTATATTCAAGAATCTAAAAAGTGCTAACTCGTTAATGGAATATGCTTATGCATTTTTCATTTTGAAACCCCAATATTAATGGGACAGATGCATCCATGTAATTTTATGGACGAATAATAGAAAGTGTCATATTGATTGTAATTCTATCATTTTTTTAATATTTATTGAGAAAAACAAAGTGTAATACCTTATAAAAATAAATAAATTTATCGATTAGTTTTTGTTATCTACATAAGTGAGTCGCTGAGTCTTGATCTCTTGTGGTAAAAAAAAACGCACATATATTTACGTTGATCCTGTAAAGATTGAAACTTTGGACATCTTATCTTGAAAGATGAAGTGTCAGTGTGGTGGTGGGTGTTAGACATTGATGTCTTTTTGTGAGAAACTTCAAGGGATGTGATTGCTTCACAAATGCGTTTCCCTTACTCCGACTAAATCCATCTAAAAAAAATAGACCACAAAACAAAAGAGAGCACTTTTATGGGATAGTCGGCCCCACCAAAAACTTCAATCATGCCGTTCCATAAAAAATTTGTGTTTTTATTATATATATATATATACACACATAGGGTTTAATACACTTATCTCCCCTATTTCTGAATAATTACAATTACATCCCTTTCGAAACATTAGTTATACCTGTAACAAATCGACTTAGGAATGACAAATTCCCCATTCTTGGCGGGTTCCACCCCGTTTAGGGTGTGTTTAGAAACCGATAAGGGATGGGGGTAATTTTTTAAACCCGACAGGGACGGGGACAAGAATAGGGTAAATCTGCCAATTTAGGATGTATATTTACTAAAATACCCTTATATAATTATGATATATTACTAAATTATAGTAAGTATATAAAAACATACTTCTAAAAATAAGTAAAATTATTTCTAAAAAAAATTATAGTGTATATTAAACAAGGACGGGGATTGTGGGGCGGGGATGGGGAATGGAGAGCGGGGGCGGGTAAAGGGATTGAAGTGAAATTTTAAATGTGGATGGGACGGGGATAGGGATGAAAAAAATTACCGGGGATGGGGAATGAGATCCCCGCCCCCGTTGCCATCCCTACACATACCTAGTTTCATGATTAACGTTGATGTAACAAGTTTTTTTTTTAGCTTTATATGATAAATATGTCTTTTAAATGTTTTTTTTAGCTTAATATGATAAATATGTCTTTTAAATTATTGTGAAGATACTTTTGTTCAATACTTATGGTGTGAAAAGATAATTATATTTTTAACCCACGACACTTCTGTAAATCTAATTTTCTCTAGTGATGGGTATAATTATCTTTTCACACAACATATATTAGATAAATGTGTTTTTACAATAATTGAAAGGGCATTTTTAAGCTAAAAAACGTTATCACTGCCATCTTTTGACCTTTAGTAAAACTTATGGCCAGGGTGATCGGATCACATTGGATTGGATTCAATCCGTTATACGTATTTGGCTTTGCAAAGACTAACAATGCAACCTATCTTCTTCTTATGTTTTCATAATTCAAAAAAAAAAAAAAAAAAAATTATTATATAAAAAATTTCTACTAATTTGATTATTTAGATTATTCAATTCCAAAGTTAGATTATTTAGGCAAAAAAAATAATATAAATTATATATATATATATATTAAAAGCCACTAGAAATTACTGTATTATTAATTTTTCTTTACATACTTAATTTTTCTTTACGGAGACTTAAGTCCTTTACAATTACAACTTCAAAGAATTAAAGAAATATATATATATTATTTGTATATATTAAATTTTAACTAATAGGATCCGATCAGTTATACTGATTGATTTAATATTTTCAGGCCCTAATTTTTTTAACTGAATCCATAACTGAACCATTGGCTAAAAAAGCTCTGGATATTAAGAGTTAATTTGTTAAACACATGTAACTAGAAGGGAGGTGACTGTAATTATTTTAAATATAAGGAATGTAAGCATAATAATTCCTAATTAGAGGGGAATTAAGTTACTTGTATATTTTAGATAGACTGGTTGGTAGCTTTTGTTCTTTCCCTCTGCTCTCTCTCTCTCTCTCTCTCTCTCTCTCTCTCTTTCTTTTCGTGCTCGGACTTCTCAGAGGTACGATTTCGTATCGCCATTTTTGCTTGCCCAAGTTAACAATCAATATCCCAAAATCCAATACCTAAAAAGCAATCTCAATTAATTATTATTCGATTACTGAATTTCGATTCTCCGATCATAATCCTTTGAAGTTTTCCGATTACAACTAATCACTGCTTCGCTTCCTTTCCATCCATACCTAGGGTTTATATTGCCTCATTCACAAATCAATTTCACAAATCTCTTATCAGTTTGATTTTTCCTTTGATTATAATCTCTACATAATAGTGAGTTTTAGTTGTTGTGTTTGGGTATATATATATATAATATAATATATATATGTAATGGCGAGCGCCGGCGACGAAGACAACGACGCCGTATTGAGCGACGTGGAAGCCGACGATCCGGTGCCGGTTGTGATCAAGAGTCTCCCTCCGCTGGAAGATGTTACCGTGGAGAGATTTCGAGAGGCTCTCGCGGAGCTCGATCGGGAGAGGCAAGCTCGCGAGGCGGCCGAGAATTCGAGATCGGAATTGCAAACGACGTTCAATCGGTTGAAGGCTCTCGCTCACGAAGCGATCAAGAAGCGTGAGGAAGCGTTGCGCGAGAAAGAAGAAGCTTCGAGATCGAACGAGGCGTTATCGGCCGAATTAGCCGAAGCCGTTCGAGTGAAAGACGATGTTTTGAAGCAGAGGGACGAGTTGGCGAGGCAATTCGATGAAGCAGTGAAGGCAAAGGACTCGTCGAGATCGGAGATTGAAACTGCGGCTCAGATGTTAGTTACCGGAATTGAGAAGATCTCTGGGAAGGTGATTAACTTCAAGAATTTCAACGCTGGTGGATTGCCGAGGTCACAGAAGTACACTGGATTGCCAGCAATCGCTTATGGAGTTATTAAGAGAACAAATGAGATTGTTGAGGAGCTTCTAAGGCAGATTGATTCTACTGCAAAGTCGAGGAACGAAGCACGGGATCAGATGGAGCAGAGGAATTATGAGATTGCTATTGAAGTTTCTCAGCTTGAAGCCACGATTAGTGGGCTGAGAGAAGAGGTTGTGAAGAAAACTTCTGTTGTAGAGAGTTTAGAGAAATCTATAGCTGAAAAGGATGATAAGGTGTCTGAGATGGAAAGAGGGATGTCAGATAAATTAAATACGGCTGAGAGTGAGTTGACTGAGCTGAGGCGGTTAATCAGAGAGTATGATGATAAGTTGAGGGACTTGGAATCGAAAATGGACTTGCAAAGGCCGTTACTTGTTGATCAGTTGAATTATGTATCGAAAATTCATGACCAGATTGATAATGTTATTAAAATAATTGATGCTAATAAACTAGACCAGTCGGAGTTGTCAGAGTCCTTATTTCTCCCTCGAGAAACAGACATGGAGGAGAATATGCGTGCATCTTTGGCTGGGATGGAATCTATATATGAATTGACCAGAATTGTTGTTGAAAAGAGCCAGGATTTAGTAGAGGAGAGGAATCATGAAGTTAAAAGCTTAAATGATATGGTCTCTCGATTGGTGAAGGAGAAAGAACATGTTGGGTCGTTACTCAGAAGTGCTTTGTCAAAAAGGATATCAGCCGATCTGTCTTCCAAAACAAATGAATTGTTTAAAGTTGCAGAAAATGGATTAAGAGAGGCTGGGATAGATTTTACATTTAGCAATCATCTTGGGGATGAAAAAGGTCCAGCTTCGATTGATAAAGCAGGTGCTCTGGAGACAGAGGAAGATGAAATATATACCTTGGTAAGTGTTTCAAAGTGTGAAATTGTGTTTCGAACTCTCATTTTATCTTCCTTGTCTTAGAATCAGTACAACTTATGCAGGCTGGTGCTTTGGAGAATATTATTAAACAATCCCAACTTGAGATTATTGAGCTGCAGCATTCTGTAGAGGAGCTAAGGTACTTCTTTTACACCATATTTTTTCTTAAACATTGTTTGGTTTTATGACCTAGTATGTGTGTTGCTTATATCTTACTGTGAAGTTATACTATAGAATGGTTAAGATTGTCATTTAATAAAAAAAATTGACCCCTCATTTAAGAAATTATTTTAAAGAGAGTTTTAATTGGAAACCTCAAAATTTCAATATTATATGATTTCAATATTATATGCTTTGATAATGTAGTAGCTTGATCATGTTATGATGTTGCTTTAAGCATCCATTATAAAATGGGGCTTCCAGGCATGAATCTGCATGTTATTCGGTTGTTTGGAGCTTTACTTTATAGTAGCATATAATGTGCTAACTAGCAATCACTCTGATTTACATACTACTGTACTGGATTAAGGGCAGAGGCAAGTTTACTTAAAGAGAATGTCGAAGCTCAAGCCAAGGAGCTCAGCCATAGGAAGCAACAAATAGAGGAACTCGAAGAGAAGGAGAGAGTGGCAAATGAAAATGTAAATTACTAAAACCTATCTTTCAGCTTTGACATTTGGTACTTTATAATTCCTCTTCTATTAAGTTGGTTTTCAGTGACATCTGAAGGTTTCTAGGCTGATTTTTAATTACATAATATAACATGAATGCAAATTTAATCCAGGTAGACTTGGCATAGGGCATACTTCATTTTTTCTCATTGGTTATTTACCTCATTTACTAGGTTGAAGGACTTATGATGGACATTGCTTCTGCTGAAGAAGAAATTACAAGATGGAAAGTGGCAGCACAGCAAGAAGCTGATGCTGGCAAAGCTGTTGAACAAGATTTTCTAGCACAGGTATGCTCAAATATGAGTGGTTTTTCTTCTGTGCAATCAGTTTCTTTGTCTTCTGTACTTGTTAATCTGCTTTTTGAATTTGTATTGTTGGACTTGGTTTCCAGAGCCTTGATTTTTTCACGATGAACTCTTCCAAAATTTATTGATACTCATGTCTTAATCTCAGAATTTAAGGAATTGGATATTTAATGCTTTAATATATTTTATTGAATTTACCACAAAAAATTATTTGTATGAATGCTGAATTTTATGTTGAAATTTAAGTCTGATAAGTAAGAAAAGTTCAATAAATTTACTTTTTATTACTTTTAAAGCTAAAAATGCACTTAAAGAAACATGAAAGTTATGCTAATTGGACTTGACAAATGAGTTTGTTATGATGTACAAATGGAAAAAGTGCAAATAATCAAAGAAAGATACTTTCTCTGAGTATTATAGCCACCAATCAAGTACATTGTGTAGTATATATATACTTCTCTAAAAAGAAAAATTAATAGAATTGATTTTTATGTAATTGAGGAATTTTTTTCTTCTTAATACATTTATCTATATGGTACTCTCAAAATCATGAAAAACACATGATAATTTAGGTTATTTAGTAATCCACCTTTTGAAACTCGCAACTTTTACTTGATTACATCTACAAGATTAAAAATCTCTTTTACTGTACTTTAGGTAAAATATTTCTTTGTAATCTAAATTTGTAAAACAAAACTTAACAGCATCCCTTACTTATGGTCTCTGTCACAGTTTTTCACCAACTGTTTAATCTGCGTTTTGCTTTTGATAAGGCTGAAAATTTTACTATATTTGGTCTTTTTTGGTTTGAAGGGCTCACGCAAGTATTCATGTGGTTCAATTTAAATGAGATGAATCTCCTGGTTGTGTTAGGGACAATGACAAGGTCATGGCATGTATTGGCTGACATGCAACTGTGCTATGTTTATTACAGAATGTCAAAATCAACAGCACTTTTCACCACGTGCAATAATACTTGTTTTGATTTCCTGAAAGCAAAGTCAATTTCATCCTAGTATTTGAACACTAATGGAGATTGAAGGCAGCATCAACTATAATTGGTTTCTCATTGTGCTACTGCCTCATTAATGGCTTCATGAAGCACTGATGGAGTGAAAATATGAACCCTAAAACCATAAGCATTAATTTGCACTCATCCCAAATCCTACCCTTTTTACGCATATTTTCTGACCTCTGTTGCTTGCTATTGGTGAATTGGTTATTCTGGAGAAGTTCCTGGTTGATATAAGGAATGAAGCATATAGATATCCGCTGTCATGAAAGAATATAAATTATTTGCCTCATATGCCCAGCATCAAGTAAATGTAAAAAAACCTGGAAGTCTCACTTTCTTCCTAAGTAGGAAAGGATCTTAGGTCCGTGGATCCAGCCTCAGGGCATGCCTCGTCTTCTTCCTCTTCAAGGATGATTAGAGGCGCTTCTCCTTTATTGAACGTTACTCCTCTGGCCATATCCTTCACGAGTACGTCGTCTGGTTGCCCCTTTGAACGATTTGCATGATGAGATGCAGTTGCTCACCTTGTGTTGGAATAAGGGGGTTGGAGGACCTCACTATAGATAGGCAAAAATAGAAGTAAGGGAAGTATAGCCCATAAGCTCGAATACTTGTAAATTCAAGAACCAGAAGAAGAGAAGTGGTCAAAGCATGTAATATGTGACAGCGTAGGTCTCCTGCTGATTGGCAAGGTGGCATAGTTGAATAGGTGGATCCGAGTGTAGGGTCCAGCTCCGTCCACTACAACACTGTAGCCAAAAAGCAGAGGACCAGACTTGTAAACCCCCGTATTTGGAGTAGGCTTTTTTCCAACACCCCGAGGTAACATTGCCTCTGGTTAAGCTCCTAAAACCCCTGAACTACGTATGAAGTCAAGACCGTGCCATCCTTGGCTTATGAAGTGAAGCCTTTTCCCATTTGATCCCATTACCCAGTTTGGTTTGGGGACTTTTGAGCATTGGAATTATAAAATTTGGTAGTTTGCATTCTTGTTGGAAAGAGTGTGGAGGAAGTCGAAGAACTGAATATAGAGTACAGAAGGAAATGTTTGTTTTCCTCCTAGAACTATTTTGACCATTTTGGGAATGTTGTAAGTTACCTGGGAATAATTTATCAAATTTGGGGTTTTTGTGTTGACAATTTAGATTATCCCTTTACAAGGTATACCTCCAGGTTTTGTTTGTTTGATGAAAATTAGAGGGAAAATGTAGAATTCTCAGAAATAAATATGAAAAATCATGTAACAACATTTATTTGGCTTGATTGTAGTATGTTGGAACTTAATGTACAAGAATTATGATAGATATACATGTATATGGTACATAAATTTTCCCACTTCCTCTTTCTATTGGTTTCCTGAATTTCAATCTTGATTGAAACATTTGCTCTTCTTAATGGCACTTGCAGTTGTCAACCATACGCCAGGAACTTGACGAGGCAAAGCAATCTGCGATGGAGTCGGAGAAAAAGCTCAAGTTTAAAGAAGAAACAGCAGCTGCTGCAATGGCAGCAAGAGATGCTGCTGAGAAATCATTGAGATTGGCAGACTCGAGGGCGTCCAGGCTGAGGGAGAGGGTTGAGGAGCTGACGCATCAGCTCGAGGAGCTCGATACTCGACAAAACTCAAGAAATAGCCAAAATGGCCCTAGATATGTCTGCTGGCCATGGCAATGGCTCGGGTTGAACTTTGTAGGTGTACCCCGGTCCGACACGCAGCAAGAACCAAGGAATGAAATGGAGCTTTCTGAACCCCTTCTCTGAAATATACTCTCTTTAGTTTCTTCTTTCCAACCTTTGTGTATTTATTGTAGCTTGTAGCACATTCATTCTTCAAGGCAAAGTCCATTAATCTTATTAGCTAATTGTACAAACACAAGCATGTTTTAGAGCCTCAGAGTCTTATGACAAATTTTCTGTTTTTTCTCACTATGAAATATGATTGTATTTTCTAGTCATATTTGAATGTGAGTAATTTACTGTTTCTATAGATGGGGACTCCTTTCTTATGGACAATTTTCCTTGGAAACAATATAAAACTGTCACCACATTGTGTGAAAAAAGGTTTCTTGAGAAAGAGGTAAATTTAAATGATTCTGCAATATTGAAGATAAAAAATTGCAGCATGATTTGAGCACACTTCTAAAATATTGTCAATTTTTTTTTGGGAATACTTCTTTCTCTTTCTTTGTTATCTAAAAGGAAAATGATTTGTAGTCGGATCATAGTTTCATTAATATCATATGTAATAAATTTAATTCGAATGGTTCATCGTGGGTGGGGTGGGGTGTGAATCTCTACAGACGGACACATTCTTTATTAGGACGGAACTGTATGCACTTGCCAAAATTGTAAAAAGGTAGAGACATATTGACCCAAAATTGTGATCAAGTTAGATGCATCATGCAATGGAAACATAAAGTCATAAACCAAAATAGCACGAATCATGCTCCCTCTCTCCCTTTATTTTTTTATTTTATTTTATTTTTCCTGAAAATTTTCCGTTCTTTCTCTACCAACATCTAGAAAAGCTGGGATTTTTATTTATTTTTCATTCCCGCGAGCATTTTCTGTACATCCAAACATGGCCTAATTAAATTTCTTGGTAAGAATTACAGCAAAAAAAAAAAAAAAAAAACTTTCTTGTGAGTCAAAAATTTCCTCCATAAATATTAGTAGTAATAACAGGTTAACTCAACCACGGTTAGAGTCCAACTACATCTAACCGTGGTTAAGCTAAATCAAGTTGTATATAAACTCAATGGACGGTGTCGAATTGTGCAGATGCGAAACGAACGAATCGCGTAACATCAGACCAGTCGCATGACACGACCGTGTCAACAGTTTCGAGAGCTTCATAGGGTTGTAACGAGCAGAGAGCTAGCTAGGATTAGGGTTAGGGTTTGGATCTTTCTCTTCTTCATCGCTTTCATCGATAGATGGAGATGGAGCGTGTGACGGAGTTTCCTCACACTCATATGGATCGGCGTCCCAGGAAGCGACCTAGGTTTGCTTGGGACATCTCTCAGCCTTCAAAGGTAAAAATGAGTCTTCACAATTTTCAAATCTAATATATATATATATAATTTAGTGTTCTGTTGTTTTGATCACTGATTGTTTTGAAAGAAAATCCTTTCCCGGATTTTTTTTTTTTTTTTTTATCTTTCAGATCTAAAAATGATCTCTTTTTCTATTATCGAATGGGCTAGAGATTAGGCGTTTTGGTTTGAATTGTTTAGATCCAGGAAACAGAAACTTTTTTTTGAAGAGAATTTGCTTGTATTGAGTAACTTGTGTTTTGTTGTATAAATGGAGTAATTTCAGGTGCAAAGTATACATTTTTCCCCCTTTATTTCGATAAAGTCAATCGAATTTTGGTAAATGTTAATCAACCTACAATATAAAATGTATAATTTTCATTGATATAAATTGAGCTGTATAAAATAATTAATTAATCTTTACAAAAATGAGTTGAACTTTTTTAATCAATGAAACTTTAATTGAGCTGTATAAGATAATTAATCTTTACAAAAAGAGGCCGAACGCAAAGCTGAATGGAACTTTTTTGGGGGTTATTTGAGTTGGACTGTGTTACGGATAACATGTGATTTGTTGTTGTTTATTGATTTTACTTAGAAATATGCATGAAATTTGACTTGGTTTTGGATGTATATCTGTTAATTCGATGTTTTTAATGGGTATATGGAAATTTTATCTGTGATAATTATTGGTAATATATAGGAAGGGAATACAATTATTAATGGAGCGAGCAGAATTTTGTTTTGATATTTGTTTAGTGGAGTATGAATGAATGACTGTGTGTAGGCCCAGTCAGGACTATATTTTGGGCAAGATGTTGGAAATGTGACAAGTTTTGGACAATCGAGGGTACTGTCGGACCATGCTAGTCTATTTGGAAAGGGATTGGCTCAAAAAGGTTCTCCCCCGTGGCGAGACGATGACAAAGATGGGCATTACCTGTTTGAGCTTGGAGAGAATTTAACTTCACGCTGTAATTATACTTTTCTTTTTTGAAAACCTCTTATATTTGTTAAGCTATTTTTCCCGTTAAATGGTAAATTGTACATCTGTTCCTCTTTTAACTGATTCTTTCAAGTTCTACGATCAAATGGCTTCCTGGTTACTCAATATAATTTGGTACACTGTTTGCACTTTTATTTTATTTTCAATTTTTTTTTGCACCTTTTTGTTTTTTTTTTTTCTTTATGCTTATTTTTTTTTGAATTTTGTAGTTATTTGGATTGAGGTTAATTTTCAGTTAGCAGATGAGAGTTCTTTTGGTTTGCCCTTAAGTAAAAATAATAATAATAATAACAGAAACAATATTTAGTATCATAATCCCAATTAATGCAGTGACTTGTTCTTGATGCACACAACCAAAAAAACAAAAAGAATAAAAGAATTGTCTATGTAGGTTTGTTATAATTGTTCATTTCTGTGATCTCCTCACTCTCTTTGGCTTCCGGTTTCTGTACTTGCAGATAAGATCCTCAGAAAAATTGGTGAAGGTTAGCATGTTCATTACTCCATTACACTTACTCTTTTTAAATTTAATTTAAAGTTGTAATCTCTCAGATCATGCTTTTGTATATTTTCTTTTTATTCTACAGGCACCTTTGGTCAGGTTTTGGAATGCTGGGATAGGGAAGCTAAGGAAATGGTCGCCATAAAAGTTGTACGAAGTATTAAGAAATATCGTGAAGCAGCAATGATAGAAGTTGATGTGCTCCAGTTGCTTGGAAGGCATGATAGAAATGGCAGTCGGTATGTATATATCTCTACATAGTTTACTTTATTTTCTTGTGATGTGTTATGAAGTTGCTTTTCGGTTTTAATTCTTTTAAAGGTCAGCCTTTTGTGGGTGGTTAAGTGGGTTTATTCTTTGCAGTTGTGTTCAAATACGGAACTGGTTTGACTATCGTAACCATATTTGTATAGTAAGTATATAATTGATTTTTGGTAACATGATTTCCCCAACTTTACAATTTTTTGGGGAGTTAAGACTTGCCGATGAATTTAAATGGTCTTAACAGGTATTTGAGATGCTTGGACCAAGCTTATTCGATTTTCTTCGGAAAAACAATTATCGCTCATTTCCGGTTGATCTAGTCCGTGAGATTGGCAGACAACTATTGGAATGTGTTGCATGTGTGTAGTCAATACTTCTGCTGTTTCTCCTATTTTTTTCAAACTTGATGGCAACAGTTCTAGTAGGAAATATTTTGAATCCTTTACTTTTTATCACTCTAGGAATACACTGATTGTTTTTGTCTTAATCTTAATTTTCCTTTTTTTTTTTTTTTTTTTTCCTACTAATGATATATTATTTGTCACACTGGATTTGTTGCATGTTACAATATTATTGAAATTGGAGCTGGATTTTTTTCTCAATTCAACAAAACCGTGAATGCTTATGCTGGCTTCGGTTCACACTTTTGCAGTCGTGCATGACATGCGTCTCATCCATACGGATTTGAAGCCTGAGAACATCCTTTTTGTTTCTCCAGACTATGTAAAGATACCTGATTACAAGGTTAGTAATCTTTTTGTAATAGTTTCATTGATGCACCCTATCTAGTTCTTTCAAGTCAAGCTTAATGCAGTTTCATCTTCTGATTTTGCATTTTATCTCCCCTTTTTCTTAAATCTTTTCCCTTGCGTTTCATTTGATGCCCAATTTCCTTTTCATCAACCATTCAAGAAGTTTGATTACTCCTTATCCTGCAATTGCAGGCTGGGTTTGCGTCATGGTTACCAAGAGATGGAGCTTCGTACAAGAGGTTGCCAAAATCAAGTGCTATTAAGGTTATTGATTTTGGTAGCACAGCTTATGGGCATCATGATCACAACTATATTGTTTCAACTAGGCATTACCGTGCACCTGAGGTTATTCTTGGTAGGTCAAAATGTGTTCATTTGTGCAGGAGAAAACTTTTGCATGCATCATTGTTATCGTTGTATTTGTAGATCGTTGTATTTGTAGAAGTGTAGAAGTGTAGAAGTGAATAATCGTGTTTCTGTTTTGCCAGGACTTGGATGGAGCTATCCATGTGATATATGGAGTGTTGGTTGTATTTTAGTGGAACTATGCTCGGTATGTTTTATCCGGCAATAGTACATTGTCCTGCGGGTCAGATGGCTGGGCATTGTAACATGCTGGGAATGAATCCTTATGCTAAATATGTGGTTGTTTTCAGGGAGAAGCTTTGTTCCAGACCCACGAGAACTTAGAGCACATGGCCATGATGGAAAGGGTTTTAGGCCCTTTGCCTCAGCACATGTTGAAAAGAGTAGAGTGCGTAAGCTGTTGAGAAGTTTCATGTTGTTCTTGTTATATATTTAGTGGGTTAACTAATTTCTTTTTCTTCTTGATTTTTGTTCAGCCGACATTCTGAAAAGTACATTAGAAGGGGAAGACTGGACTGGCCTGAAGGTGCAACCTCCAGGGAAAGCATCAAAGCTGTTTTGAAACTTCCCCGTCTTCAGGTGGCTTCAACATTTGGTATTGTTGCATGCATATTTGTTTATTTTTGGGTCTTTTTTCAGTGCTAATTTTGTTGATTCCCAATTGGCAGAACCTAGTAATGCAGCACGTAGATCATTCAGCTGGAGATCTAATAGACCTCCTGCAAGGTCTCCTTAGGTTCGATCCTTCCATCAGAATAACAGCTTGGGAAGCGCTTAGGCACCCCTTCTTCACCAGAGAACCTCACAGGAGGTCTTGAGTGTGGATCCTGGCACGGCTTATTATTTGTATTGGAGATTCTTCTTGTTTTCGGATGGTTTTCTTATATGGCTTCTTGAAGAAGAGTGAAAAAAATTGTCAACCTTTTTCTTCAATTCTCGTGGAGCTCGTGTAAAATGACCAACGTTATGGGGTTGAAGCTATCTTTTTCTAAGTTTTGTACTACAAAAATTTTCCAGCTTTGCATTTTGTGTAAACATTGCGGATTTGAATGCGGACAAGTTTTTATTCTGTTGTTCTGCCTGATATTTGTTCAGACCCGGTTTGAGCTCCGTATCTTAGTTGGCTTGTCTAATAACAAAAGTATTAAAGTAGGTTTTATTGCGTGCAATAATGGTAAAATAAAACAAGTGATCGAATTGTGTGACAATATTGTTGTGATCAATGAATAAGATCTCAATATCAATCCAAAACAGAAACAACATACTGAAATACAATGCGGAGAGACTCCACAAAATGACACTCCAATAAAGTCTGTTCTTTTAACGTTTTGTTCTGCACTTCTTTGCTACCAGGACTCCACCGGGAGGACCAGTCATCACAATGGTGCAATGACCATACAACCAATACGAATATCGAAGGAAATTTCCCAGACTTGATCGAGTCCGAAACAGACCCCTTATTTCAAACATTACCCTATTGCTTTCCATGTTCATCCTAAGGTGTTGGCTACGTTGCAGAGAAAGTGGAACCTGGCTGGTGACCATATGAACAGTTGCAAATTTGGACCGTTTGTCCCTTACTGTGAAAGGCTCGACGGACCTCGTTGCAATAAGGACGCTTTCGTAGTAGAGATTGATAGTCATTTGGCCGAAATCCACCCTCACTTTCTTGTTTGGATTCGAGAAGTTGGCGAGCAAGGTGAGATCAGCATTCAGGAGGTAACCCATGTCAAGGTAGGCTGCATTGAGGGTGGCACTTGACACGTCAAACTTTGGGCTTTTTGGGCGAAAGAGGATATAGACTATGAGGATTACTAGGCCTCCCACGATTATGATGATCCATAAGAGCGCGCAGAAGACTGCGATGAACCATGCTATGGGCTTGGTTTTGTGTTGCCGTGGAACCCTGAGGGGTTGATTCTGTGACGGTGTGCGCTGATCATTTGAACGATGTGGCTGAGGACTCTGAACAATAGGCACTAGGTGTGCCTGGGGATGCTCATCTTGGCGCTGTGGTGGTTGTTCATGCGCGGGAACACGAAGGTTGGGATCTTGTGGCGACCGGGGATGTTTCTGACGCTGTGGCAGTTGAGATGCAGGAACAAGAAGCCTGGGATCTTGTGACGACCGGGAGGGTTTTTTTTTAAGCTTTGGCTGTTTCGACCGAGGTTGTTCGTGTTGGTACTCTGGGTGATGATGCAGAGGAAAATGAATGTTTGGATCATGTTCCGACCAAGGACGGGTTTGCTGCTGTGGCTGTTGGCGTGTAGGCAACTGAAGGTTGGGATCATGTTCCGACCAAGGACGGGTTTGCTGCTGTGGCTGTTGGCGTGTAGGCAACTGAAGGTTGGGATCATGTCCCGACCGGGGATGTTCATGGTGGTGTTGTGGGTGTTGATGCATAGGAAAATGAATGTTTGGATCATGTTCCGACCAAGGTTGGCTTTGATGCTGTGGTGGTTGACGTGTAGGCAATTGCAGGTTGGGACTGTGTTGTGGCTGAGGATGTTGGCTTTGATGCAGCGGTGGTTGTTGTGGGTAAAAGTGAGGGTTGGTGTCGCGCGACATTGGTGTGTATGGAGAGAGATCTGGAAAATGATGAATGAGAAGATGATGAATGAGAATAATTGTTTTGTATGGGCTGAGCAGAAAGAGAATGACTTCATGAGAAGTTCAAGTAGGAGGATTAAAGAAAGAGCAAAGAATCAGACATTAGTTGAGCATTGGAGGCAAGTAATCTTAGTGATTCCTTTTCAAGTTATGGACCAAAAAAAGTTAAACCAAACCGAGTAAGGTGAACCAGGGGTTCAGGACTGTTACCACACACTTTTTACTGGTATATTGTGATTCTGTGATTGATAAGACAGATAGAGCAGCATAAACTTGCATTTTTTAACAAGGAAACACAGTCCAAGTGTACCAAGTATTTTTCTAGGTGTGTGTGTGTGTGTGTTGATGCTGATATGGCAAGATCATATTGTAAAAAGCAGCTATAAACAATAACATTTAATCAGTCAACTAAGGAAAAATCTCAGCATAAAATAAAAAAGAAGTAAAAATCTGTAGAAGACTTCCTCCTCTCTGTATTATTTCTGATAATTAAAAACACATTTAAATCATATCTTCTCCCATTTAGTAATCAGCAAAAACCAAGGCTGCCTAATAGTGCTAATTGTAAAACATGGGGGGATACAAAATAGGTAGAACAGTGAACTGTTAAGCTTACAGCACAACCATAAACAATTACACATAAAAGAGCCAACACCAACTCCATTGATTATGATTACCTTACTGCTCAATTGTCACTCTTTCCATACAACCATCAATTTCCTATTTTCTTTTCTAATGCCGGTATTATCGTCCCCTTTGGGAATGAAGTGAATCGTCTCGTATGCACCACATGACCCACAAACTCCGAAGTCTGGAGTAAATTTCAACCTAAGACCCCAAGCTAATTCCTTTTCAAAATATCACACCAACTTAGCTCTACCCATGACAACCAGCACACTGTTGCTACTGGGCACAACAACTTTCCTGCACGCACGTCATTTACTACAGCAAAATATTGCTTTTGCATAGCAAAGAAGCAGGTTTATGGTATTTCTCTGTTCGTTGATTTTACTTCCAAATGACATAAACTAAACAGTCTAAAAATCTATGTAATCGTAAATGAAGCCTATAACCAAAATTAACTGACCATTACTTAACTAAGGCATGTAATGAAAAGAGTTCAGCTATTAGATTACCATCTCACAGAAAGAAATAAAGAAAGGTCAGTTCTGAAACAAGAGCGGTAAGAAAAACACTCCATTAATTTTGTTTTTCCAAAGCAACATTTTATTAACTAGCAAACAAAGCCAAAACAAGAGAGGCAGACCTCTCACGTACAAAAAAAAAAGAGCCCACAGGCACCACAACAGATTTACCAACACTAAAAGAACCCATTTCCACAATTTGGCTAACAAAATTGTAAGGAAGAAAAAGGAAGCAAAGGGGACTAATGTGTAGAATGCTTTATTGATTTGAGCTTATACTAGCAGTTTCAATTCACTGACAGACAATCAAATCTGCAAATCAGAATCATCAGCTATATGTAGCTTTAACTCCTTGAAGTCACCCGTGTACTAATAGAAAATGATTATGATAAAGGTTCCTACCAAGAGTTTGCTCTGCAACCAACTCATTAGTCTTCATGTTATTCCAGAATAGTTGTAGCTTCTGCTTTAGGAAATAGTCACTATTGTTGTGTATATATATATATATATTCAGTCCTCAAAACTCATCAGTACTTGGAATTATCTCCAATGTTAATATCGACGACAGCTGATCAAGTTGCAGTCCTACTCCATTTCCTTTTCTGTTTCTTTCTTCTGCAAGCTCTGGCCAAAATCATTAAGAATAATCTTTCATGAGTCACACTTTTTAAAAGATGTCTGTTTTTTCTTTCATTCTTTTTAGTCATTAACTTTGTTTTGGATCGCAAAAGAAGGAATTGGAGAACATATAAAGGAAAAAATAAATAAACAAGTTCATGCATTTGGATCATAATGCCATACCACTGCATGTGGATCTTAAGCTTGGATTCATCATGAGTTGTTCTCCTCCCAACTTCCATCTAAGTAAGACCAACATGTGTCCTGGATTTGTCTGAAACAAGCTGAGGAGACTGTAATGCATGCCTAAGAATAACAGTAGAGAAGAGAGAAGATTAATCAGGCACATGGAGAGAGAGAGGGAAGCACTGATAAAAAGATCAATATGGATGTAAGGTCCTAATTCAAGAATACGACAAAGCATTCGACAAATTCACACCATACACAAATGAAGACCATGATGATTATAAACCAAAGAGTAATAATCTTACTACTAAGAAAAATGAAAAGAAGAAAGAACCATTCAAAATGATCATGAAGTAGGACCCATGCACAAGAAGTTGACAGTGTGGACAGAAAAATTTGTAACAAGAATAATCATTCACTAGCATCTCAGAAAAGAGGATATAAATCCAATAAACCATGCGGGTCCAGATGCAACAGCTGATATTGGTCAATGAGCTGAGAATAGGAGGCACATAGCCAGCCATAAATTTCAGCCCAGGTCGAATCCCTAGGGGTTGAGCATGCAGTTTTGCAGTCATATGCAATTAAGTCCAGCTAGGTGTATGTTGAAGTTTGGAAATGATCCGCTGCTGAAAATTCATTCAAATAACTGTGTTTGTATAAGCAGTTGTAGATGTGGTAAGGGCTACCAGACCATTCCTTACTCTACAAGAACATGTATTATTATTTTGTAGAAGTCAGAAGAAAATCTAAGGTTCATGTGTAATTGCATAGTGTTTGGTTCTGTCTGTAACGATCCCAAAACTGATATTTTTTTAAACAAAAAAAAAATTCGGCATGACCTCCCCTAAAAATAGGCCTATCACAACCTGTTTAAATTCATTTTTAACCTATCATGGCTCAAATTCCGAATTCACGGCAATAGTAGATGATAATACACAATCAAATGACCTCAATAATACTTCAAACTAGTATTACTCTCCCCATTCATCAATAAGGTTTACATGTTATCAAATTCACATCCAAAATATCATCTAATAACATAATTATATTACCTAACCATGGTTTTGAAAAATAAATACACATTACTACACTTTTGGGGCCTTACAAAAATGGGAGATATACAAAAGATACAAAATGAGCTCCAAGTCATCCTTAAGCTTGTGGAAGATCGGCATCCACTACCTCCTTACCGGTTCCGGGAAAATGTTAAATAAAATGGGGTGAGCATAAAGCTCAGTAGAGAGTGCCTAAGACGCACCTCTTGTAGCCCCGTGAATCCAAACAAAGCATAGGCCAATAGGAAGAGGGGTCATGCAAAATGAGGGAAACACATATTAAATTCCAATTCCAAACAATCATATGTAAAATGCCATGAATGCTATGATATGCGTGTCACTCCCCATTTCTCAGAAAACAACCATACTTTTCAAACTGTTAATATAACCCGCCCTTTGGTGACCCCGCAGCGACACGAGAGGAGGATTGGCTAGTGTCCCTGACCCTTGGTAACCCCGCGGCGTCATTATGGGGCCCAGCTAGCTCAATCACGCTAGGGCGACTCCCTAGTCCCCTCTAGGCTATATTAACCTCCGGCCCTTTGGTACCCCCGCGGCGACCGGGTTTCCAAAAAAAAAAACTTTTTCAACAAAGCTTTCCCGAAAATCCCCATTCTTTCATTTTTCAAAAGTCATTTCCATACGTGCAATCCCCAATGATGAATTCATGAATGCCACATACTTTCAATGTTGTAATATAAGGGATTTCTAACATTTGTCATGCCGTGACAATATCATAAAATGGGGAATTTAATACCACAATTTACAACATATGCTCACAACAATCAATTAGATATTTAGCATTATAATAAGCATGATAAATCAACCACTTATCACAATTTCCATACAATCCAACAAATACACATAGATACATGTTTCACATACACAATTAAATCATTTAAGGAGTAATCCATCTAAACTAAGCATGCTTATCACATAAGTCAACAAACACACATATATAAAATCTTTATATGCACCATTAAATCATTTTTAAAGCAATCAACCTTAAATCAAGCATGTTTGGCCAAAATTCTAGAGGAATAACTCACTAAGGTACAAGAAAAGTGTGAATTAGACACCTTTACCTCTAATTGAGCAAAAACCCCAATTTTCTTCACAAACCCTAGAAATGGGTCCTAAGATTCGAAGTTCAAAGGGTGCACCAAATCTGGAATTGTTGGTATGTATGCGTAGAGCTCGACACAAGCTTCGTTTTGCCTTAAACGGCACCTCAATCCGACAAAAGGTGGAGGAGTAATCTAAGAATGAAGTTTGAGTTCAAAAAGAAAAAGAAAAAAAACAAGAAACAGAGACAGAAGGAAGGGCCAGCGGGAGAGAAGAAAAATGGAGACCAATTGTGGTCTCAAACCCTTTTTGGGTGTGGTGGTGGGTCCCACCAAAATTTTAATTTGCTTTCTCTTTTTTTTTTTTTTTTTTTTTTTTTTTACTCAATGTACATCACACACACAGACATATATATATATATAAAGGCACAAACATTACACTGTCAGTTGTGATTTGTCCGCTCAAAACAATGTCATTGTTGCAGGAGTATCAAAAGCGGAAAGCAGGACCCAAATACAGATGTCATTAGTTTTTAGTATAGGATGAAGTTCTCAAAATGTGGTCCTAAGGCTTGAAATCCATTGTTCTACAAACCCTAACCCTATTCCTCTATTTTGATAACTTTAACCCATCAGCTTTCCCTTGTACTTCAGCCATAGTATACAACAGATCTAGGTTGTCCAGCATCAACCCTTTATGCTTCTTTTGGTAGGAGGGATGGAAAAATGAAGGGAATGGATAAAAAGGAAGGATGGAAGAGGACATCCCTAGGAATGGTCTGAATGGAGGGTGCTTGTCCATCCTTTTTTTGGTTGAGTGGAAGGGAAACTCCTTCCTCTGTTTGAGAAAGGGATGGAAAGATTGTCTTGAACATATTTTACCAATTCAGCCCTCTATGCCATTTCAACATACTAATTTGGTAGATTATTGAAAGGTAAAAGTGAAATTTCATATTTATACAACAATTATTCCTTCTTTCAGTCTTCTCATTTCACCTATAATAGAGGTGATCATTGTATACAAAAATCAAGAGAGTATAATAAAGATATATAGCCCTTTGGACTTTGTGTGCCGTATGTAAGCCTTAGGGGCTGAACCACATATATCCTTATGTTCTTCATTTTCTATGTCTCTCTTCAATTTTGACAAGAGTAATATTTGGTTGGAGAAAGAGGCACAAGATGAAGATCGTGCTGTTGTCTCGCATAAAGATAAGGAAAGTGATACACAACCACACATGGAGCTTTGTCAGTGTTATAATATAAGAAATTATCTTAAAATTTTATATTCCTCCCACGTTGTTTTGTATTTGACTATTTTCAGACTAATACTTTATTAATATTTTCTTTTAGTCTTATAAAACCTTCTAGTCTTCCATATTCCTCCACAATTTTCTTTTCATTTTAAAAGCATTTATTATGCTCATGTATCCTTCAAAAGCATCTCAAATTCTACAAGAATACCTTCACAGGGTAATTAAATTAGCAATTATAATATAATATGAGATGTAACAAGTATGTCATTGTATCCTAAGTCTCCACATACAAGTACCCGAAAAGAATATTGGCTTGAGAAGCCCAAGACTGACCCGTCCTTGGGTATAATCGGTGATTTGATAGCAAAAGCAATAAAAAAGTCGAATATAGAATATTATTTCCAATACCATAGGATACAATTGATATAAGTAGAATATTGAGTATAGACGCTTTTTCCTCCCCACATGGATAAAAGTGTATAGACGGGAACTAATTCAAAAGAAGCTTGAGAAGCCCAAGACCAATACTGGTTGGGGGGTAGGGCGCACACGCACATGTTAAATGGATTGGATCCAACTTGGTTAGGTCCTCCCCCTCCCACAAAACAGTGGTGCCACTTGGGGTCCAAACCCATATCCAATCTTAGCATATATAAGGACAACATCTTTTTCCCAATCTTCCAATGTGTGATAACCTATGGCAACCTATGTGGACGGGTGTGAGACACTGGGTGAGCTATAGGTTCCACAATCCCACATTGCTTGGGTAAGGTTAAAGTGAAGTGCTTATATGTGCTAGTGCTATACCCAAATGGTATGAAGCCTTTTGGAGTAAAGCTCAATAACAAAACCGTGCGGGTTCAGGCCTAAAGCGGACAATATCATACCATGTGGTAGAATGGGTTGTTACATAACCCACTTCCACCCATGATCAAACGAGCTACTTTGGATCTAGTTTTTCATTCACCAAACGGTTTTGATCAAGTAAATATACTATGTTCATCTCCTCTCAGACAACCTGTACTTTTATCATGCACCAAGCAATAGCCCCTTACTAACTCAAGTAAAAACTTAATTAAAGATTTGTTTCAAAGTAAAATGTTTTAGAAAATCTTCATCATGGACAACATGAATTCCACCACTGCAGTGTGACCTTTGGTTGCGCAGAAGCATAATTCAAAAAATTATAGAGAACATTTATAGGAGAAATTTTATGAAGGTGACTTAAAAAGGTCGACGCCAGAAAAAACCATTGAGAAGAAAGGCAGAATTGGTGCAATTTGGACACATTAAACGGATTTCAAAAGGGTCACAAGTGAAAAATTATCATCAATTACAATGGAGTGGATTCAAAAATCTAAATCTGGATACATATTTTAATATCAAGATCCATATCTGGATCGTATACTATGGCATGATTCATATCCATATAATTTAAACAGGATCCAACTAGGGGGATAAAAAACAGGATCCAAACAAAGTAAAATATACTTGAATTGAGTCAGAAGGCATGTGAAATCCGCTCCATCCAAGAACTAACCAGATCCATATCCGGCCCAGATCTGTGACAAACCTTTCAGACAAGATCCGTATCTGACCCGTTTCAGATCAAAAATTAATATCCAAATCCGTTAAATTGGATCTTGGTCAAATGTGCTACCTTTCAGGCCTTGCCTTCTATTCTTTGAAGTTCTGAATGTTCTATGTCACCAACCGCATGTATCTTAGTTTTCACAGTTCAGACACAAATATTAAATCCCTATACTATACAATTTTGAGTGAGAGAAAATCCACATAGCTGTCCTTATATTTCTTTTTTATGACAAATTAATCATTTTTGTCAATACACACCAGAATACATGGATCCATGGGAGAATATTCATCTGTAAAATGTATAAAAAAAATTTAGGAAAGCAAGCGGCTCTAACCTGGTTGCCTTTTTCTGCAATTTTCCAGGCAGCTCAACAAGGTAAACTTCCAAATGGTATGTGCTTGTAGTCAATGAACACATCCTGATTGGACTTTGCCGTAGGATATAGAAAACCAAGCAATATCAGTGGAACTAAGTTTCAACCTGAAATATGCATGGAGTGATTTACTGTTAACAAAGAGAGTAAATTTTATCCCACTGTCCCACACAGCAACAGTCATATATCGTTTATATAAGGCATCAGCACCCCCATCTCTACTTGCAATTGATGGATTTGCAGCAGCAGGTACAGAGCAGTACATGCGCAGCAACTGGTTTACTGTTGTTTTTTGGGCCAAAAAAGTTGATATTAACAATAAACTTAAATCCAACGCACAAGGACTTGCTACTATCACAAAACTGGCAAACTCTGTCCGCAGGATATCCAATAGATAGCTAATTGATTAATGACATGATTCAAACACACAGTTGCATGTAGAGATGGAATACCTCATCTACTGGTTAGGCCATTGCATAAATTAAAGAACATTTCTGACATTCATTGCTGCACCTTTTGAATGGATGGCATTGATAATAGTCTCAGAAACATCTCTATCAAGAGTAAAGCCCTTCTCCATCATCTGATCCCAAACTGTACAAGCCATTTGAAGCTTATTTTCCCGAACAAGCCCCCCGATGATCAATCTAAATGTTACCTCATCAGGATACGATCCTTTAGAGCACATATCCTCATACATATGCATGGCTTCACTTACACTAGAAGCCTTGCAAAATCCATTAATAAGAGCATTATATGACACTACATCAGGGGTGATTCCCTGCTTGACCATATCAAGAAAAACACCATGAGCCATCTCGATCTTCCCAGTCTTACACAGGTGATCGACAATCATAGTATACATTACACGGTCTGGAAATATACCCATCCCTGTCATCTGGTTGAGAAGGTTTTTGGCTAAATTGGAATTGCCTTCTCTAAGAAAAGCTTTTATAAGAATCGTGAAAGTGACCACATCAGGGACAATTCCCTTTCGGCCCATCTCCTCAAATAGCTTATAAGCCCTTCTGGTGTGGCAAGCCTTGCAAAGTGCTCTAAGAATACTGTTATATGATACAACATCGACCAGCCCTTTGGCCTGCATCTTGTTCATCATCAACATGTAAGCCTTATCTACCCTGTTAGCTTTACAAAGACCCTTAAGAAGTTGGTTGTAGCTATAACCATCAGGTTCCATTCCACTCCGCTCCATCTTCCGCATTAACTTTTCTGTCTCCTCCAACATAAGCTCATTGCAACAATAATTCAACAACACATTGTACGTAACTAAATCAGGCTCACACCCATTCCTCCTCATAAACATCTTAATTGCTTGAGCCTTGTCAATTCGACCGGCTCGACAAAACCCACTAATGAGAACATTATAAATTGTTGTGCTAAACTTAATTTGGTCCTTCATTGCACCCAGTGTAAGCTCATACGCCAAATCAACCTTCCCACCATCACACAGACCCAGAACAAGTGCCCTGCAGGCTTTATCATCTGGACTGAAACCTTTCCTAATCATAGTATGCCAAAGTTCAACAGCAGCGTCATATCGTCTGATTCTACACAACCCACTTATAACTATTGTGTAGCTCACCACATCAGGCTCTCTTCCCTTCTCAACCATAATTTGCAGTACCTCAATAGCGATGTCCACTAAATTCTCAGAACACAAAAGATTCAAATATATATTACAAGCCCACATATCAGGGACCACCCCAATTCTATCCATGTCTTGTAAAAGCTTCTGAATAAGCTCAAAGTTCCTAATTTTACACAAACCGGAAATGAATCTTGAATATGTGAATGAGCTTAAAGAAAACCCTTGTGGGACCATTGCATTGTAATAGTGTTCCGCTAAATCGAAGCGGGATTGGCGAACCAATACCCCAATCAATCTGTTGTAATCTATACTAAACACCCTGCAACTTGACTGGGCCATTTCGTCGAACGTTTGGAGGGCTTTATCAAATAGACCAGTTTTCACGTAGTTTGAAATGCGAGCACGATATAACAGCCGATGTTTACCAAGATTTTTATACATATCAAAGTGGCACCCTCAAAGTAGACTGCATATCATCAATTTCTCAGCTCCAAGCCTGAACGAGACTCAAAAAAAAAAAAAAAATTGTCGAAGTGAATTGTTGATCGATATGGTTAGCTGTGAAGAATGTGAATTACATAAATAAAAATACAGTTCATAAGAGTAACCCTAGCTATGTAGAGAGAGAGAGATGCGGACCTGGCTTCGGCGATGGAGGTATCGGCGGAGGAGAAGAGTGGTTGATGGACTTGGGGCCCAAATCCAAGTCCGCTTCTCCAAATGCAAGTGCAGCTTTTTTTTCAAATTTGTAATATTATGGATAAGTTTCAGTGTGGCGGGCTTCCAATTGGGCCTTATGTGATTTCTGGCCCAATATTATTGGTTTTGGGATGGTAAAACTCATCAAATTTCTGACTTTGTAGGTATAGTTTTAGATTAGTGATTTAGGCATCAATTGCGGCAGTTATCGAATTCAATTTATGTGAGTGAAGTGAAGGTGCCTCGCCATTTGATGTCATGAAATTGAATTTGGTAACTGCGTACTTAAATCATTATTCATAGTTTTATTTAGTGTCAATTATTTCGAATGATCCTTAACGGATGAGAAATTATTACATGGTCTGAACCATTCGTCCGATCAATCACTATTTGACATTTAAATAAAAAAATCATTATTCATAGTTTTATTTAGTGTCAATTATTTTGAATGATCCTTAACGGATGAGAAATTATTACATGGTCTGGACCATTCGTCCGATCAATCAGTATTTGACATTTAAATAAAAAGTTAAATAAAATTTACACATTTTTTATACTTTTTTTTTTGCTGGCACACGAACTCACCTGGGCAGCGGGACCCACACCTTAGCAACAATTTCAGTCGAGGGTTATAATGGTGATGGACGGGTTCGAACCTGGGATATGAGCATTCTCAAGTCGTTACCTTACCAACTCGGTCAAGCTCCCGGAGCATACATTTGTTTACTTGTTAAATGATGATTAACCCAAAATTATGTAATAAAAATTTCAAAATTCTCTCTTAAATGTCATACATTCTAGCATTTTATCACTAACTCAATTGGTACAACCTCCTGTAAAGAAAGGATGTTGGGAGCTCGAACTTGGTAGCATATGCATTTGCTTCAACTTCTAAAGAAGATGTTTAATACGTAGTCATATTTTTCATAATTCTCTGATAGATTTCATGGATACTAGCCTTTTATCACTAGCTTGGTTGGTATGACCTCCTAAAAAGAAAGATTGTTGAGAGTTCAAACTTGACCCAGAGGCTTGTTGTACCTAAATTTCTTATGACTCTTATCCATACATTATACACACAGATATAAATTGTGCCAAATATTTCCCGATCTATTTTTTGTGCAAAATATCCCCCCCCCCCCATCGGGAGAATGAGAAAGAGGAGAGAGAGAGAGAGAGATTTTTTTCCGAAAAATATGAGAGAGAGAGAACGACGTTAATGTCGTCAAAGTATATAAATTTTTCTTATTTCAAAATGGTGCTAGTTGGCATGGTTTTTAAACTTTCTTTAAGTATGTGTCAATCTGCAATTAATTCAACTTAGAGAATATTTAATTTAGAGAATCCAACTCCTTGTTTTTAATGGTTATCAAATTTAACTTAGTAGAGTGTTTGAATGAAGTTAAAATATGAAACTTTTAAATTGCTTTTATTTTTTTCATTAGTCTATTAAAACTGTGTTTAAGTAGAGGTTAGATATTTTAAAAAACTTAATATAATATATATGTATATATAAATATATATTTATTTTTGCTATTTTGTCCCTCATTAAAAAAAAAAAAAATTTATAATTTGAATTTAGGACTCGTTGTTTCATAAGTGTGGAGGGAAAAAACTCCCTCCAATAAAAAGCGCACACGTCACCACTACCCATATCTACATTCCAAGGACATATAAGGCCCATCATGCTCAAGCCCAAGTTGAGGGTATTTACAGCCCAAGACCATTGTTATTTGTCCTCCAACTTCCATCAAGGCCGAATCAAGAAGTCATCAGTCCAGCTTGTCGTCAGCCCAGCGTATGAGTATTTAACATCTGGCCTGTTACCCAAGCCCAGCCGGATCAAAATATATTCAGCCCAAGAATGCACAAGTCCTACCACTTGAAGGATTTACTGTAGAAGGAAAATTCGGATAGGAAGTTCTGTACAAGGCAATTTCTATGTATGGAAAATTCGACAATGGAAAGAACTCTATTAGAAAAGAATGGTTATATAGAAAGAATTGGAGGGCAAGCAACGCGAGTCCTACCATAATTTTGCAATCTTTTGTATATAAATAGAGGCTAAGACCTCCAATAAAGGATCAAGCAATTCTACGCTTCTCTACACACTGTTCTTATTTATTTTTATTGTTTTTGAGTGAGTTGTTTTATTTTTCTTAATCATTATTGGTTGGGTGAAATTTTGCACCTACACTTTGGCGCCGTCTGTGGGAACCGTATAAAAATATACTCCCACTTGTTCTTCAAATTCAATCATTTAGTCGTATCTGGAATGTCAAACGGAGAGTCAACAATGAATCAACAGATAGAATTGATGCAAAAGATGCGAGAAGAGTTCTTGCACCAATTTGAGACACTCCGGCAAGCAAACGATACGAGTGTCGTCCAGATAGCTGCGCTTCAGCAGCAGACTCATATGCTGCACACGGCCATGGCCAGGCTAACGCCATAACCACCACCAGGCGATGCTGCGGCACCACCCCCCACCCGGAATTTACCTCCGGTTCACGAGCCTCCGGCCAACGAGACACAACCCAACGGGGCTCGACCTAGTGAGGTTCAGCAAAAGCAAAGGACGAGGTCCGAGGCGGTTGCTTCGGATAATCTCCCGCATCGCACACAGGACGAACAGGCCGAGTCCAGCCATAAGCTTACGGTATGGTCCAATGGCGTTCCAGATGGCGCACGGGTACAAGATGCCTTCGATGAAAAGAAGCTCTTGAGAGTCCAGACACCAGCCGAGATGGCTAGAGAGCACAAGAACTCCTTGGTCAAGACCCCCTTTACTGACGAAGTGTACCTTGTGGAAAGGCCGAAGAAGTTCACTATGCCATCCTTCACCCAGTTCGATGGGGCAGGAGACCCCTCTCGGCATCTCGATCATTATGCACAAAAGATGGCACTGGACGATCATAACGATCCGTGGATGTGTAAGGTTTTTCCTACCAGTTTAACCGGAGCAGCGTTAGAATGGTTCAGGAATAGGCCACACAAGTCTATCCCTGACTATGAGACCTTGTGCACTATGTTCTTAGCCCCAGTATTGCGGAAATAAGAAGCAGAAGAAAAGTATCGCCAGCCTTTTCACCATAAGGCAAAGAAAGGGGGAAACTCTGCAAGATTTTTTATCCAGGTTTAACATGGAGGCCTCGGAGATAGCAGATTGCCATCCTGCCACGGCAATCGAAACATTTAAGTTGGCAATGATCCAGGGAACCAAGTTTCACACATCCTTGGTCAAATATTCCCCCCCGGATATGCAGACTTTGAACGCTAAGGCACAAATCTACATTCGGTTGGAGGAAAACGTAGCCCACCGTGCACAGCACGCTACCCTCATCACGGTGGAAAACAAGTCTCGAAAGAAAGCTGCGAGCACAAGGATGCAGAAGGTTCCTCATACCGCCACACAAGTCACCCAAGCGTCTGAGAAAAGGCGAAGGACAGAGGACAGGCTTACCCCTCTCCGTACTACCTTGGCGCGCCTATTCCAAGAGAATAAGACGAGGTTCGCGACTCCTCAGCCCATGAAGCAACCCTTGGAGCAGAGGGACAAAAGCAAACATTGTGCCTACCATAGAGATTATGGGCATACCACCAATGACTGCAGGTCCCTACAGCGACAAGTAGAAAGCATGATAGCGAGAGGAGAATTGGTGGAGTATCTCGCCACGAAGGAGCACGTAAAACCTCGGGAGGTTAACCCTCGACGGGTAGAGGGCGGTCAGGTAAAGGTTATCCATGCTATACACAGAAGGTCAGAGGATGATGAAGAGTCTGAAGTGTTGTACAGATCCAGGCTGAGAGAGGCTCATAAGTTACGAAGAGTGTCTTCGGTAAACACGGTTGCACCAGGCAGCGTCAATATTGGATTCGGTAACAATGATCTTTCTAGAGTCCAGCGCCCGCATGAGGACCCCTTGGTCATCAGCCTCCTGGTAGCGAATTATATGATCAGGAGAGTGCTGATAGATCCTGGAAGTAGCGCCAACATCATTACAAAAACAGGTTTTGATCAGTTGGGGGTTTCACCATCGTCCATCAGGCCAACTTCCAGCCCCCTAATGGGATTTGATGGTACTAAGGTGAATCCGCTCGAGGTGATCGATCTATCCGTTACTGCAGCAAAAAGGACTCTGAAGGAAAACTTCATCGTAACAGAAATTCATCCATCTTATAACCTCATTATGGGGAGAGGTTGGATCCATCGTATGAACGGAGTCCCCTCTACACTTCACCAAGTAATGAGGTGTTTATCCCCGGATGACAGTGAGGTCATCGACCTCTGGGGAGACCAGGTTGCTGCAAAAGAATGTTACATGCTAACGCTACATGAAGCAAAGAAAGCGTCGAATTCACCTCAGTCAGAGGCGGATCCCAAAGACGCGATCAAATAGCAGTTACAGTATCCTCTGCCCAAGTATCTCAAGGCAGAGGAAGAAGCCGAAGCTGAAGCACCTACCGGGGAGTCCCTCGAAGCTATAGAGGTAGTCCTCGGAGACCCCCAGAAGATCACCTACATTGGCTCATCTTGCACAGCCGAAGAGAAGGAAGCATTGATCAGGGTCATTCGGTGCAATTCGGATGTCTTTGCCTGGGATCACTCGGACATGGTGGAGATCGATCCTACAGTCTCATGCCATAGTCTGAGGGTTAACCCGGAGTTCAGGCCAGTCAAGCAGAGGCACAGACGATTCGCACCTGAACGGGATCGCATAATAGCCGAGGAAGTAAATAAACTATTACAAGCAGGATTCATTCGAGAAGTGCAATACCCGCAATGGCTCTCAAATGTAGTAGTCGTTCAAAAGAAGAATGGGAAATGGAGGGTATGCGTAGATTATACCAACCTTAACAAAGCTTGCCCAAAAGATAGCTTTCCTCTGCCCAAGATTGATCAAATGGTGGATGCTACGACGGGTTATGAAAGGCTCACATTCCTCGATGCATACTCCGGCTATAATCAGATTCCCATGAATCCTGAAGATGAGGAGAAAACCACTTTCA